CGAAATCGAATTCAAATTGATTAATTCAATAATAAATACTAGGTCTAGTATTTATATTAATTACTATATTTCTAGCATTTCTAGTACAAATCCATATATTAATGACTATCTCCCTTATTTAAATAGCCTCCTCTCTTACTTTCTAGCCTCTTCCTCCTACCTCCTATTAATTTAATTGCCTTCTTATATATAATTGTATAGTTACTCCTCGATTTGCAATAGTAATTCGTCTCTCTAAGGTATAATAAGGCTAGTAAACGATTAGTAAAGGTTTCTAAATTTCTTACCATTTATATAAACGAAAGTAGCTATATTTATTTTATTGGTAGTAAGGCAATTACGCTTAGGATTCTTTAGAAAGTTTGTAGTAGAAAAGGTTCGCTTATATAGTATACTATTAGCGGGCGTACTAAATACCCTTATAGCGAGAAGGGTAATAATAGAGCCGCTATTTAATATTATACTTTATTATCTTTTAAAATCGAGATTATAATAGGTCTAAATTTTAATTAAGCGTGTAAAAACCCTTACAAACTTTAAAAGATAGGAAATTACCTAAAAACTATTCGTCTATAATATTAAGCAACGTATAAATATACTACTTAATAAATTCTAAAACTATAGCGGTAATTCTAGGAGTAAGGAGGTAAATAGCAGCGAATTTTTTATATATAATTTTAAGGTATAAAAGGAAGCCCAACTAATTCAACTAAATTAATTACTTAATTCTACATAATATATATAGCCTTACTAACTTATCCTAATACTAATTACCATATTGCTAGAAGAATACCTTATTTTAATCCTAAATAATATAAATAATAACCTAGCGACGGATAATATAACCGACGTAAAATCTATCCGCCTCTAATATTAATTGGGCTTTATAAACCGGCGCTATAAATTTCGCGAAGGTATCGAAATTATATTAGTATTATATATTCTTAATAATTTCGAATATAGATTAAAATTTAATAAGTTCGTCCCCATCTCCTCCTCTTCTAATGGTAATATAGGGTAATTTATTCTACTAATTATTATTAAAACGTACTTATTGAATAAAGGCTTATAATATTACTTTAGTACATTAGATCGACTATACGGATCGGTACTATAACTTCCATCAGGTAATTATACTAATTTAATTAATTTATAATATTAAAAACATAATAAAAAGATTAACTTTAATTTACTCTACTAAAATAGTAGTAAGCTTACTACAATATATAAGCATAAATCCGCGGAGGCGGGCAAATTATAGTTTAGAAGTACGAAAAAAATTAATAATAACCGTAATTTATTAAGCGAGTAACTTAAAGGGTTCGATAGTAATTAAGTCTTTTATTAGCAATTACAACGAATATAAATCGTATAGTACTACAAAGGATATTTTAAACTAGTTTTAAGTAAATTCGAATATTATACGCTGGGCAAAGGTATATATATTAATAATAAAACTATTAATTTTAGCAGGGTTATTAATTATTTCGTTATAAATATCTAAAATAATACCGGCGAAGTTCGTAATAATATACTCGACTACCTCAATATAGCAGTTAATCCAAAAGAATACGGTTCCGCTAGCAGAAATAAAAGAAATATTAATAATATAATAGCTAACGTAATTATTAAATTTATTAGAATAAATATTAATATAAGAAGTAATACGAATATATTAATTAATAATATATACCTTCATTTACCTATAAATAAAGGGGAACCACTCGTTAACTATAGCAGCAACGTTAAGAGGGGTATAAATAAATATAATGAAGTATAGAAAAGCCCTTATAGGGGAGCTTTCAAATAAATTAAAAGGGCGCCCATCTAATAATATTATTTCAACTATATACTAATCGATCTTCTTCTTCTAAGGGCTATTAAACTAAATCGTATAGTAGTGAATATCATTACAATTCTCAACTTACTAATAAAGCTCGTAAAAGCAATATACCTCACACTTGTTAAAATAGTTGCGTAAACAGGTAATATTATTAATCTAGCAATTATTGTAATAAATATATCGCGCGATGGGAGCTACGCAACCAGGATCTTCGATAAGCTCAAACTGGGTAGCAATAACTTTGTTTTTAGGGTTACGAACCGGGGGCATAGTAATTTAATTACTGGGTTATCGCTAGTTATAAAGGGATTCAAGAAAGTTCGTCAAAATACTAGAAAGTAGGTTGGAGAAGAAAAGAGGAGGGAGGAGGGGAGAGGGCACGGGCCAATAAAAAGAATGAAATTTCTGAAATTTGAAATTTTCGGAAAAAATGCCATTTTTTCAGAAACTATCGATCCCTAGCATGGCGTGGTTTGCAAAAGATCCCTGGAGCCACGCGCAGATCTTGCACCCTGCAACGAACTTCCTTTTCGTCCTGAAGATTTCGCCAGTTGTGTGTTTCTTGCCAATCTCTCAGCAGCTCCTCCCGGGCTAACTCATATCATATGTGAGCCAGATGATTCCTCTAGAAGCCGTGCAGGCGTTCAGTCTGTATTCAAACTCACAATATGCTCACAATACACCCGTATCTGACCCTTGTAAGCTGCTACCGATCGCATTCAAGCAGTCCGGCAACATGGTGAGGCATTGATCTAGTATGATGATCCCTTCTCCCACAATCCATTCTCCGAGTCTCCGGTACACGGTTCTTTCCACATCAAGCTCATGGTTATCTTGCAGGCGAGTAGAGACTCTGTGTGGGCTTTACGGAGCCAAATATGCAGTAGCGTCTTCTGGGAAAGGAAACTCCACACCAGAAAGAGTTCGACTCCGCGACTCCATCCCACTCGACCGCGTGCCGGGCAGTCTCCAGTGTCTTTGCGTCGCATCGCCGTTTGCGAGTGCCGAGGCCCGAGATAAACCACAGCAAATGGGCAGGCAGAAGCGGTCACTCGAAAAAGGGAAAAGGACGGTGATGATTTCATCGCAACTAACCGACTACCGCTTGAACCTTGACACACGTGTACTTCCGTATCGGGGATATGTTAACCGTTGCCTCAACCACGGTAACCACCACCGGCTTTCGGCTTAGCAAGAGCCTCCCCCGTCTCCGGATTCCGAAAAAGTCGACTCTACCCGGTGGTCAATACAATACGCAGTCATCACTAGTACAGTGTGTAAACGCGGTAGGCTCGTTTGGCCCAGTTTGGCCAGTTTGGTTTCCGTAAAACGCGATCAGACGAGAAGGGAGTCGCGGTGGCCCTTTGGCATCTCGGCTGCATACCTTGCAGCCATGCCATTGCCACGCGACACGATCCGCAAATGCGGTACCTTTAACGGACGGGAGACGGAAGACGGGAGGCTTCACTTCCATTTCATCTTTGCTTCCTGTCATGATCGCGGTGAGCTCCCGTAGAGGTAGTAGGTATCACATAGAGATGAAAACGCAAACGTTCAACTACCTTTTGTTACCTTTTTACTGTGTGCGCAGCAAACCCCGGTGTACTTGCCCCGCTCAATAGTGCGGCCGACAGACTCCTGCGTCGACCTGCGTTGACGAAGTTGCCGTTACTGTGACAGTAACCTCACAATCGTGACACCCGGCCACGTTCAACTCGACACTGCATCGTTTGAAATCCCTCGGCTTCACACAAGACGATTCTTGCTCCATGGCGTTTTACCTACTTTAAAGTCTACACCTGCCTTGCAAATTTGCCAAGGGAAAGACAGAGAAAGAGAGAACGTCCACGCGTAACCAAGCCTGGTCAACTTATCACCTATCGCACGCCTTTTCGCTCCGCGGTCATCCTGCGCCTTCTATTCTCAAAAAAGCCACAGACCACGACGACAGACGTCCCGACCCTCCTTCCAACCGCAGACTGAGTGTGATTTTTCGTGACAGGAGCTCATATTCGGCCGCCTGCTTCACCCAGGGGTTCGCTCATCACAACACCGACGCAGCGGGTGCGCCTGTCTCTTAGGTGATCGGTGCGGTCGTGCAAGGTGTCTCAGACTCCTTCTGTCGCCCTCGTCCTTTCACGCAGACTTTTGGGCGGTCCTCCCGTGTGCTTTTGGGCCTCCATACACGGTTCGCTCGCACAATAACAGACGCAGGCTGCGGCGGGGTTTCGTCCAACGGCAAGTGACAGGCGAGACAGGTTCAGAGAAGTCGTCGTACGAGGGCGTGATCCATCAGTCTTGGACAATTGGCGGAAAAGTAGGTGTTCCTCCACCGTTGCTTCCTGTATCTTTTTTCAGTTGTTTCTTTTCCCGGCCCTTTGTCAGGTCCGCAGGCTGGCTGGGAGCCTGGGTCTATGCCAATGGGAGTGCTCACTTGCTCACTTAGTGGCATCCACCTGAATTTCACAATGGTCCATCTTGATACCACGGCGTCCCTACCTTACCCTTTTACCCGTCATCCCCTTGCTCTTCCCTGGTTTTTCTTGTGTGGCTTTTCTTGGGGGAAACTCATGCTGGCACCACTCCCCCTTGTCCTCTGAGACGAGACGGGCATGCCCTGGTCCATCGTGAACTCCTGGCAAGCCTGAGAAGATAGAGAGAGCATCCACTCAGGGCCACTTTGGTTTCTAGCTGCTGCTAGCGCAGTGCTCATGGCCTCCTCGTGCCTCGTCGATGGAATTGCCTTTTCCGAGTCTCCTTCTTTGTGTGCCTCAAGTGCCCCCTTGTCACTCCCGCCCACCGTACACTTGACTGCACCAGTCTTGCCAGTCTGCACCAGGACCGGTCCACTGAACCCACTCTGCACTCACAGCCTGAGTCTGCAGTCTGCAGCGCTGCACCCACCGTACCTGCTCCACATCGCATGTGCCCCACTGCAGATGCCCTGGCTGGTTCGGTGCTTCCAGTAGCATTCGAGCCCGGCATCCCATTGAGCCGGAGCAGCACTGGACACTGGATGGACCCGGTTCTGACCAGCTCTGACCAGTCGGCTGCCGTAGCCGACCATCTCTCTTTTATTTGAACCGACGCTTGCCCATCCCCGACAAGGCACGCCCATCCTCCTGTTACATCTACAAACTAACCCGCTCGCTGTTAGATGGCCGCAGGCTCGTCATCGTCCCGCTCAACGTCCACGGCCAACTCTGATTCTTCACCAGTAGTTGCATTGCAAGCAGGCAACCGAAGCACAGGTAGCACCGTCACCAGCAGTAAATCCAGGAGTGCCAGCGGCAGCAGCTCCAGCATCAGCAGTAGCGCAAACACCGGCAGCGCACCAGCAACCTCGGGAACCGCTTCAAATACCACCTCCTCCCACTCCTCTTCCTCCACCGTCTCCGCCCTCGCCGGCAACACAATCGCAAAGGCGAATTCGAATTCTGTCCGCGATCCCGTTGCCAAGCCCACATTCCCGGCGGCTTCAGGCTCCCAAACCCGACAACAGACGCACTTGAGCTCCCCGTCTGTTAGCTCCCAGCGCGCTGGTGGCATTTTCGCACTCGCCGCCGCCGCTCTCGATAAAACCTTGGCCGGCTTAGGAGAAGCTAGAATCCGGCCACGCCAATCAAACGGTCGTCTTTCTGCCGGCCCCGAGTCCACCGTTGGCGGTCCTCTGCTGCCCGGCCCGGACAATCTCTCCCGCTCCAGGTCCGCTTCCAAGTCTTCTCCCGAGGACGGAAAGCACTTGGCCTCCTCGCTAGTGCCCCGGGATCCCAATCCCCCTGCTCAACCGTATAGCGAAACCGATCCGAACAGACCGCTGCCCGTACGCGTCGGCCGCGTTGATAACAAGATGCATCAAACTTCCTCGAGACTGTTGCGCATGACGGATGACGATCGCCCGTTCACAAAGGTTAGCATTGTCTTGAGCAAGCAAACAAGGTCCATGAGACACTTGCCTCACACCACCAAAATAGTCTGCCGCTAACTCTGCATGCGCAGGATTTCAAAGATCTCTTTTCGACGCTGATCGTCTCCCTTCTTCCCCTCTCCGCCCATCGCGTTCGTCTGACCAAGGTGGAACACACCTTCCTGTCTGAGGATGCCATCAACAACTTGGGCTCCCTCAAATTCTCGCAGTCCAACCGCATGCCGGATCCTAAGGACCCTTCGCGCATCGTGACCACTACGACCACAACAACCTTCTCAATGGCCAAGGACATGGCCCGTTCGATATGTCAAAGATTCCTCGAGGCCAGGTTCATCGAGTCTGCGGATGGCAGATACCAACAGGTATACAGCATGAAGGGGTCCGTATGGCAGCTAACACCCAAGGGAATCTCCATTTTGGATCGCTTCTGCAACAGAAACGGCATTCAACAGAAGCAAGTCGCCGAGCTTATCGGAAACTCGTTGCCTCAGATAGTCATTTTGGAGCGCAATCCCCAATCTGACAAGGTGCTCACCGACCACGCCCTAATCGAAGTCATCTTCCGCCGGTTTATTGGTCCCAATGGCTTCAACATCAAGCAGAGCGTGAGCTCGGCGGACTCGGACTCTCTGAGTGACTACAGGGATGGTCTGACGGGTGTCAAGATGGCTGCGGAACGCAAGGTGAACGGCAGGACCTACCGAGACACATTTACTGGAAAGGCTGCAACGGACTGGTTGATGGACTGTTCGACCGCAGTGGACCGCAGGGAAACAATCGAAATCGCCTCCCTTTTCGTCGAGTATGAGCTCATGGAGGCCGTTCAGCAAGACAAGGCCCACATGCAACAAAACCCCGGCCACCACCTATTCCAACCCACCAAGCACGCCATCTACCAGGTTACAGCCAAGGGCAGGGACCTTGTCAATGGATCCTTGGTTCGCGGACGGCCTTCTGAGAGCGATGGCCACTCTGCCTCCCGCTCTGTTGGCATCGCGCGTGACTCCAATACCCAGCGCCTAGACAAGATCCTCAACGAAAATTCTTTGCGTCTGCTCTTCCGCGAGAACCTCCGTGAGACTCACTGCGAGGAGAACCTTGCCTTCTACTTGGATACCGACGAATTTGTCCGCCAATGCAGAGCAGCGATCGACCTTGCGCAAAGGAGCCCCAACAGCGCGGCTTCCTTGGATGGAATCAAGGAGATCATGGCCCAGGCCTACGGCATCTACAATGCTTTCTTGGCCCCTGGTTCTCCGTGCGAACTCAACATTGATCACCAGTTGCGTAACAACCTCGCGACACGTATGACCAAGGCGGTGGGCCAGGACGTTACCATGATTGATACGCTTCGAGAAGTCATGGCGCTTTTTGAGGATGCTCAGAACGCTGTTTTCAAGTTGATGGCGAGCGTAAGTTGAATTCAAAACAAAAGGGCCCCATCGGAATCATCAGCTAACAAAGACACAGGACTCGGTCCCCAAATTCCTTCGCAACCCGAAGTACGAGCAGACGCTCAGAAACTACGACTTCGATTCGGTCACTCCCACTCATGGCCAGGGGCGCGGGGTGGAGCGCAGCCAGAGCAGGTCGAACCGCACGTGAAGTCTACATGCGTGTGGCCGAGAATAGGGGACGAGAAAATATCGACCATGACCCAAGTCTTGGAATAAAAACCCGATTCCGAACACGTTCAGCATCTTCCCTATGATACGTGGAGCGGGCTTCATGTCCTTGTGCATAAGGGAGTCTAGAACTCCCGTGTTACTTCACTTGTCCTGGTGGCTAAATATCTACTAATGTTGTTACCATCTTTCCGGTTCACTTACTTTTCTTTGGAGACATACGGCGTTCAAAGGATAACTCGCGACATAGATGGGGAGAGCTGGTCACCTGCATATAGTCTTCATTTACTTTGTCATCTTGGGGAAGGATTACGAACTGGTCAAGGGGGGTTCCTGACGGCAAAAGGGAGGGTGGGCAAGGCAACGGACGGTTTGTTAGGGGAAAGGGAAGGGGTGATCAATTGCATCAAATTCAAAGGCGCCATTGCCCTTGGGGGCTGCATAATATTGTTCAAGCCAGGTGATAATCAGCCCTTTACGATAAACTGGGCTTCCATGCTGGGAAGATCCGTGTATCAATAAGTATGTGTGCAGAAGAAAGCTGGCAGGGCCAGCTAAAGAAAGAGAAGGTATGAAGGCAGAGGTCAACAAGAGTTGTCTCTGTTGGTTGGGGGGATGAAGGGCCAACAGTGTGTAGATGGGCTCACTGACGGTGCTCGATCCTACTATGTATGCCTTAGACTCGCAAAATTAAAATGAGTTGAACAGTTTACCAGACATAGGTTTATTTTGGAATTTGCCATTTAAGAATCAGGAATGTGTTATGGTGGCCAGTCGTCATGGAAGGTGGCCGTGGAATGAATTGTGGCTGGGTGTCTCTCGGACACATTCTTGGGGGATCGTGAGCCGCCTCATGTTTTGATCCCCTTTACTTACAGTCGTAACTCATTGGATATTCGCGGTGTTTATTTCCCCAGAACTAGGAGCAAAACAGCAATGAATAGCAAGCTGCAGATGTAAGTGCTGGTTTGTTTACATCTCCGAATCATATCCCTGGGGTGATTGATGGCCTTCAAAGTCCATAAAGATGCGAGACCTCTGCTCACTTGGAAGAGGTTGTTCCATCATCATCAGCATATTACAACACACCAACCTCCAACCTCAGTCACTCCTTACCTACTAGACACACTCTTTCCAGTCACTCATTAATTCCCGCCAATTGGCTTTTGCTGTTTGCTCACTTCACACGATCGTCCTTTCCCAAGCAGACCAGTTACTCTTTGTCAAGAAGACATCACAGATACTCCTTCCTCCCAAGATCACCAGCACACCTTCCTTCATTCTAGCCAGTCAATATGCATCTCACCACGCTCATCGTCACTTCCCTCGCCGCAGGCTCCGCCTCCGCTTTCCACTGGGGAACCAGCGCTCCTCCCGCGGGCTTCGGTGCCGCCGCCGCCGCTACCGACGCTGTCGCTCCTGCTCCTGCTGGTTTCTCCGATCCTCCTTCTGGTCCTCCTCCTCCTTCTGCTCCCGGTGCTCCCGGAGCCATGAGGCGTCCAGTCCAGGCTGCTGATGCCGATGCCGATGCCGCCGTCACTGCCGCCGAGGATGAATCTGATTGTGAAGAAGAGGATGAGTCCGATGATGAGGGTGAGGACGACGATGCCGTTGTCGCCTCGAGCACCACCATCGTCTGCCCTACGCCCACCAACTTTATCTGGAACGGCGCTCCCGTGATCGTCACGGCTTCAACTGTTCTTACCCTCCCGTGCACCACCGATGCCTCGGGCGCTACTGTAAGTTCCATTTTCTTTTCTTTTTTTCCAATTATCTATCTCTCACAGTCGATATACAAGTAAAGGTAGATAGATACTAACCACAAGAAAAACAAGGCCGCTCCCTTCCACCCCCCACCTGCTCGTCCTCCCCACGGCCCTTGGGCCGCCTGGGGTTCCGCCGCTGAGTCCGCCTCCGCCGCCCCGGCCCCGAACTCTTTCACTACGCCTTGCGACACGTGGGTCACCCAGACCGCCATTGCGACGGCTACTGCTACGGAGATGGTCATTCCCGTTACGCATGCCGAGCCAACCTGGACCAAGGCTCCTGCTCAACCTACTGTTGTGATGGCTGGGGCCGCTCGTGGTTACCCTGCCGCTGCCGCTGCGCTGGCGGTTGTTGCTGGTTTCATGGGGCTTTTTCTGGCTTAACTAGGGAGTGGGCATGATGAGATCGCTGACATGATGGTTTGGTTGGTTGAAAGAGAGAACAGATGGCTATACGTGAAGGGGGAGGGAGTTGTGTATGTTTTCTCACACCAGCATTTGTAGGCGCTGATGGTGTAACTTGACACCCCGCCGCCGAGTTATTTGGTATTTGCTTTTTGTTCTTCTGCCAAGGGTTTTGCTTCTTTGTTTAGATTTGTATTTTGAGATTAATTTCGTCCGATTCGCCCTGTTGTTTTTTTTTTTTTTTTTTTTTTTGCATTTTATACAGTCCAATACTGGTTTGTTTGTTAGCTCAAGACCTCGGATCAACTTCCCTAGGTGTTTTTATATCTAATTGATACGTTTGGTTTTATGATTAAAGCGTGATCTTACCTTGCATATGCTATTTTGGAAATTTGATATGCCATATTGAATCTTGTTGATACCTTTCCGACCCGTACCTAGCCATTCATTTTATCTCTTTGTGAGGTTTGGGACAATTCGGGATAGATCTCGTCCAGTATACTAGGAGTACCAAGCTAACAAACAAACCAGCATTAGATTGTACTTCTTGAGGTAGTGTTGGATACTTTTCGGCTTCATGTTCATTGAAGATTTTATCAGAAGCAAGCCGTGATGGGTTCGTTCTAGCCAAAACATGCTATCTAATGCTCTTGTGCTTTCGAAATCTCAAGATTCCCATATTGCTGTTTCTCAGCACCCGCATAGTTCGACCTCGGACTAGTTCATAGTTTGCATCGCTGAGGCGACCTCTTGCCTACGAGACTGGTATGGCAAGCATTCCAAGCTGTAATATGTCCTGAGCTCCGAGACATTCCTTCCACTAAACAAAACAAAACAAAACATCACATGTGGGAAGTTCCCGAGGATAGGTTCCAGTCGGCAATTGATCAATGCAAGAGCTAACAAGGTTGGCTGCGAAAAGAGCCGGGTGAAACGCGAGTAGCTCCTTCCGAGTTTGACGGGATTCTCGCCGGCCTCAGCTTTCCAGCGGCAGGCAGGACCTTCCTTCACTGGGACCATATAAGCCCCAAGCTTAGGCCTTCTAACAACTCCCAGTAGCCGATGTGGTAAGTGTGCTGGTAGCTAGAAAACGCGTGGTATTTTCGTAGGCATGTAGCTGGCTGGCAGTTCAACTCCTGACTTGGGCAGCTCAGCTTTTTGCTTTTTTATTATTATTTATCTTTGCTTCGGCTTTCATAAGAGCGAAATTGGGAGGAAGTAGTTAACAGTTCAATTCCGAGAACGGCGCTCACACGGCTGGAACATGTCCGTAATCCATAGACTCCCCTATAGCTACGCCACAGACGTGCTCTAGAGGTAGTTATTCAACATCTATATATGTAAATTTCCCGGCTCTGAGGACAGTGGTGTGTAAAACCACAGCCCGCGCTAATCCACTTAACTCCTCCTCACCAGGTAGGTAGACGCACCGCAACACCGCATGCCGACACAACAAGACACTTGCCATCTTCCCTGTTCAGAGCCCTCTCCCACTCAAATCTCCCTACACCACCTCGCCAACACATTCCCCAACTTCACCGCCCCCGGAATCTCCTCCAACGCCACATCAACCCTCCACATCTTCCCTTCCAGGCCACCTCCGCTCTGCCCCAGCGTCGCTCCAGCTCCCTTAGCATTCGCCCCACCACCGCCCAGCGAGCCCGCAGCAGGCACGAGCAAACCCAAGGTAACCAGCCTCTCCCATGCGATGCCCGCGATGCCGCGGCCCCAGACCCTGGACCCGCCGCCGAGAGCGAGTAAGCCCGCGCTGGCGCTCTGCACGCGCACCCGGCTCATGAGCGACGTGTACTCGTCGTAGGCCATGGCGAAGTTGACCGTGTCGGTGTGGGCGACGATGTCGAGGCGGGCGGCGGCGATGAGCATGGAGAGGTCGAGGTCGGAGAGGGAGGCAAGGAGGTGGAGCTTGGAGTCGGGGGGTTCGGTGGTGATGAGGGTGTGAGTGAGGGAAGAGGGGGAGGGTGCCACTGGAGCTGGAGGTATCCTCAGGGTCGGAGAGGAGGGGGAGAGGGTTGATAGGGGGAGGATGCAAGAGGTTAGGAAGGCGGGGACGGATTTGGTGCTGTAGAAGTGAGATTCTAGGTGGTGTTGGAAGGCGGCGGTTTTGTGGAGGGCCTGTCGTTAATATGTTAGCACATGGTTCTAAATGGACGAAGAAAAGTAAAACGGATGGCGAGAAAAGGTACTGGGGAATGCAACTCACCGTGACCTTTCCATTCCACCACTCCGAAAACTCAGTATGGCCTTCCACCGCCTGGGCAATCCCCTCCGCCTCCATATCCTCCTTATCAACCACCAAACCCTGCTTGCAAATCTCCCAATACGCAGGCAAGCTCTTCGGCAAAGACAGATACACGTATCGATGGCTGAACCGACTCTTGACTCGCTTCTCGAGACTCTCAACAACATCAATCCTCGTTGTAAGGCCCAGCACGGCAATGGGCGCCTTTCTAGCCTGGGCAATATCAAACAAGTTGTACAGTAATGTTTGTCTGGCATGTGTGGCGAATAGATCAAACTCGTCGATCAAGAAGATGATAGACCTAGACGTCACGCCATCCTGTGGTGTCAGCCCAATCTCGGCAGGGTGAGATAAAAGCGCCAGCAAGGACGCCATGGTGTCGGCGTGGTTGTTGGTGGTCTTGTTGATGAGCTCGTCCTCGACGGCCATCTCCTTGCCGAGCTGGCGCCAGATCTCTCGGAGAGCCAGTTTGTCGTCCGTGTGGATGAAGCCGTTCAACCTCACCACGTGGAACTCATTCTTGTGCTGTGCGGACATGTCGGATATGATAGACTCGACCAGCTACAACGGCAATTCACTGTTAGATCTAGTTCACCGATGTATTAAAGTTGCAAACACAGAGACCGCTGCTTACCGTCGTTTTCCCACTTCCTCGGGCGCCAATAACCATCATGGAGTTACCTTCACCTGCCACAATAGTCTGCTCCACCAACTGGCAAGTCTTCGCATAAGCCTCCTCCTGACCGCGCAGCTTGATCCGCCGCCTACCCGTACAGCGCTCGACCAGGACTCGCTGCAGGGATCGTAGATGCCGCTCAAAGTTTGGAATATCCGGTACCTTCTCTTCGGGTGCCGCCTCAATCGTGGCCATCGTTTCTTCCTCTTTGCGCGTCGCTGTCACGCCACCAGCTGACGACGTCACAGCCTTCTTCTTCTCCTTGTCTTTGCCTAGCTCCACACACTCCCGGCAGAACCAGTCTCCCTTGGGAAGACGAGGGATACCGTAGCACTTTTGGTGAACGGCCTTGTCGCAGCCATCGCAGAAGACAATCTGGTTACCTTTTCTGGTATCCGGCTTTGAACAGATTACACAGACTTCGTCCTCATCGCTCCCATCCGCTTCTGAGTCCACCTCTTCATCCTCTGCTGCCGCATCCTCGTCGTCCTCGTCGTCCACGGTCGGTGATTCAGGCTCGACTCCGTTCTCTCGGGGTACCTGCTTCTTCTTCTTCGTTGGCAGGTCCTCAAACGTAATTTCAGTCGACCTCCCTTCCCGTTCCTCCTCCTCTTCGTCAGACCTGCTGAAGGCCACGGTCTTGCGCAATCGATCGCCATCATCACCCAGTCTCTTTTTCTGGGGACTCAGTATCCCCTTGAGTTCTTGTTTTTCACCGACCGGCTGGCTCTTCTTTCCATCCTCGTAATCCAGGTCCGCCAGAAGCTGGTCATCGACCGCGTCATCGGGTTCCTCTTCAGAATCGCTGATTTCCACCAAGTCTGCTGATTTCTTTTTTCCCGACCTTGGTTGCCGTCGAGAAACCTTCGCAGGAGCAGAATCGGTCTCCTTTTCCGCTGCGATTCTGTCAGCCTTCCTCGGCCGGCCGCGTTTCTTGGGTGGGGGTGGATCAGTCGCTGCCTCAGCTGTTTCCTTCTGTTTCCGCTGCCGGCCGCCCTTCTTCTTTTCCGGCTGCTTCTCCTTCACCGGTTGATGATCCGCCACCCCATTAAGCTTCAATTCATCCTCCGAATCATCAGGGACTTCGTAAATGTCGTCCGCAGCCCTTGACTTCTTGCTGCCTCCCCGTCGCTGTTTCGCCTGCCCTTCCAGCCGCCCTTCCACTACCTCCTCTCCCTCACTATTAAGCACCTTAGCAGGAGGAGGCGATGGATTTTCTGACCCTTTGCCATCCTTGCCCGCCGTCGCCGTCTTCGGACCAAGGCTCCTCCACGTTTCCTCAAACACCAGTTTCTTAGCAGGTGGTCGTTCGACGATGAACCTCTTCTTGCCCGTGGCGACAGGAGTCTGTTTGGGAGTCTGTTTTGCTGCTGCTTGCTGCTTTGCTGCGCTGCGGCGGGCTGATGTCCTGACTCCGGCTGGTGTCGCTACGACCGGTGGGGTAGTAGGCAATCCGAGGACGGGGCTACTGGCCGCGAACGGGTCCAAACCTCCTCCTGCCGGACCGGTTGGCGATGAGAATGCGCCCATGCCCATGGCTTGTTGATCGAAGACATTGCTCAGTCGCTGCCTTTTGGATTTGCTAATGGCACTGACCATTCCTCCTCCCGGTGTCGATGTTGGTGGTGCCCTGTTCTCATCGGTGGTCTCTTCGTCCTGCAGACGGGATCGGGGTCGTTTCATCCCTGTTGTGAGAGTGTCGCTGCTTTTGGGAGGCATGGTGCCGGAGAAGAAAAGTGAATGCTTTGTTTATTTGGCAGACTTTTGTTTATATAAATGGTGAGTAATGGGCGAAGCGTCAAAAATTCCGTTGGGGTTGTTGGGTTGAAGACAATCGTCTTGGTAAATGCAGTGCTATTATTCCAAAGTCCACAAATGAAGTGAGGTTGACAGTGAGTTGCAATGACGGTCAATAAGATTCCAGACGCGTCCCGCTGCTGCCAACTTGGGATGCCAAGCGCGTTCCACTTTATTTGGTGGGATGTCTGGGTTCCGTTATTCGCACAGTGCCCGCTGTACGTAAAGTCCTAATTCCCGGCCATCCACAACCCATCACCTTTGGAAGTCACTCCTTCTTTCAAAGAGTTCATATATGGATATACTCCTTCGGCTTCAGAGATCTCACAATATATTGTCATTGTACGCATAGTACAGGGCTGTCTTAAGCGCTATTCATTATCATACCCTTCGAAGGGGATTCATTATGTGTTCTATATATCACAGAGCAAAGCCCCCGTACCAAGGTACCCCCGGATGCAAGTCTATATCCAGACCAACGAATGCTTCTTCTGCTTCCTCAAGAACGCCGTAGATGAAACGACACAAGGTTAAGGATAATGTCTAAACAATGATGCAATGCAGTTTTATGCAAAAAGGATTTCGCGCACCGTCACCACAATGGGACGAATTGTACGTGAAATGCCAAAAAAAGAAAGACGAATAACAAGTTCAGGGGTATGTATCTCCTCCTCGTCCGCAACCTCTCCTTTCCAGTACATGTATGCAAATATTCGTCCACTGTCGTGCTTCTCGTTGCTTCCTTTTGAAAAAGTAGTGCCCCTCAACCTGCTGCCGACTTATAGGTTGATAATGTCCACCTCCGAAAAGTCAGGCGGGTTGCGACCATACACTACACGCACTTTACTGTCTAGCGCAGTGCCCTCGTTGCTGATCCAAATGTACTTGCTAAACTCCTTCGTCCGCTTGATCTCATCGTCGCTCACACCGAGATCATCACGAGGAATCCAGACCGTGGGGCGACGGGCTCGTAGCGCATAGTGTTGGAATGCTTTGCGTACAAGTACGTCGCGCTCCTCTGGGGTAAGATCCTCGATTTCGTCGTGATAGCCGCCGAACAACGCATCTCCTATCGCCCGTTGTGCTTCTATGTCCTTCTGGCGGCGTTCGTTGCGATAGATGGTGGCTGTGCGCAGATTGTCTTCCGCCTTGCCAAACGCCGCTTGCCGAACCTGTCTGCCGCCTCGTACTGCCCAACTACCAGCGTGGACGATACCCCTGACTGGGTTAAGCTTTCCGAGTCGAGACAGGCTATCGGCTTCTGACTTGGTTCTCTTGTGCAAGTTCCGAAGCTCAATATCTTTTCCATCGCTCGCACCAGGAGCTGACCGATTGAGCGCAGTAGCTTCGTCGTCATCCCGGATAATACCCAGTCTTCGTTCCTGGGCGCGCTGGAAAGCTTCGTCGCGGATAACGGCCTCGTCTTCAAATGTGATAGGGAGGTACCGAAGGAGGGGCCCGAAGGAACGGTTCAGGAGATACTGGTACAGAATGGTTAAGAAAAGGGCAATGATCATGATGATGGCCTGAGGGACGCAGGCGACTTGATCATTTTCATCCACTGCCAGGAAGAAGAGACCAATAAGGCAGAGCTCCATGACGTAGAGACCGGTAAATGTCTGGTTGATAGCCCGCGGGTACAAAACACCACCGGTGTCGGTCCGGAAACGAGTAACGTAGAGCATGTTGTACCTGTGCGCACACCATAAGAGTGCAAACGTGATGATGGCGAAAATCGAAATGAGAGGCGCCACAACGGAGTAGATCAGAGCGATGCAGGCGAAGTTGGTGTAAACTGGGAAGAATGATCCCCAAGTGACGCTTGGGAGTTGAGTATTGCGCGTCCATTTGGCCCGTGCCGTGTTGTCCATGATACGAGCCATAACGTACCACATGAACAACGTGCCGATCTGAAGAAGCGTTCCCGAACTGGTTGACAACGCCTGGAGAATCATGTAACTGAAAAAGTAGTTCGCGGCTTTGGGGAGGTTCTCTGCCAAAACTTCAGGGGTACTAGTGATATTCTGCGTAATGTTGGCAATCGTCTGAAATGTACTTGAGGTGATGGAAACGACGAGGAACACCTGTACGAAGAGGAACGCAAAGTAGTATGTCTGCACCGTCTCCGTCGTTTGCGAGCCAGTCTTTGCGCCTTGGAAAGTTGCGAGCCAGTCCAGTGCTATTGGAACCAAAATCAACAGGATCGCAAGGACAGCAGCGGGCAAGACACCAGCCACACCCTTAATAACGTTGTGAACCGTTTTGTTGACGACAAGCCAATGGAGCCAACTATACTTCTCCATCAGGGCATCGAGCTGCGCCAGCGACGCTGTCCACGCGACGGGGAAAGCCCACAGGATAAGCATACCAACCACCACAGCGAATACGAGAGCACTTCGCGCCCATTCGTGCCACCATTTGATGGCCATGTTGTCCCAGATGACGTCGTTGGGCGAGATTTCGACCGTGCGAGGGGCCATTTGCTTAGGGATATGGTAAGTAACTGATTGGCAAGCCATATGTGCCGCGACTTGGTGGTTGAACTGAATAAAAGCCGAGTTCATGATAGGATACCGCTCCGGATGCTGCTGGTCCTCCTCGATTTCGAGGTTCAGCTTTGCCAGCTCGGCCCGGCACCAGTAGATGGTATCGACCTTCTTGTTCACCAAAGGCAAAGCTGGAAGCCAACCAGGTGTCCAGTCGAAGAGCGCCAAACGATGATGAGGCCGGTCCTTAGCCGAAAGCCACTTTTCCCATTCGGCGCCTTCCTCCTTTTCTGTTGCGTAATCTTTCGTAAACGCGGGAGGATACTCTACATCCTCGATATCGCTGTGGTAGAAGGGGATAGCAGCCTTGAATTTCTGCCACTTTGTCCTCTCGACCTTCCAAGGGTAGTCCTCGCGTTCATAACCTTGGGGAACCGGAGACACATAACCCCCCGACGGAGGCTTCCAGAACTCGTACCACCTGGTCTTCTCAGTGATGTACATATCGTTTAAGTTTGAGACTTTGCGAGTGGTGTTACCCATTGTTCGTGGGTCCGACTCCTTCTGTGGCGCCGAAGCTTGGGAGGCTTCAGAGAGGGTATGGGCGTGGCGAGCTTGAGATGCGTGCAACGGAGTCTCAGATGCAAACGACGGTTTAGGTTGTGCGTCGTCATCTTCTGGATGCAGTTTGGAGTCGTATTCGGAGCTTGTGGAGCTTGTTGGCGATGGTTGTACTCCGTCTTTGACGAAGTCAAAGCCGCCTGTACCCTCCAACTCTCCTTCGACATTCTGTTGAAGGGCTTTGGGAAGGACAAGAATGTTGTGCCCGGCTTCTCCAACAAAATCAACTCCCTTCTTGAGTCCTCTTCCTAGGTTTTCGCCTACTTTGAAGAGACCGTTCCCGTCCCGCGGGCCGTGATGCGGAGACTCTTCGCTTTCGCCCTCTTGGATATCGTCCAGCCCCTTACCCTCTGGCTTCTCTCCCTCGTGAACGGCCGTCGCAATATCATGCGGCACGGACTCGTGGTCTCCTACACTTAAGCCTCCGTTGTCCTCGGCACGTCGTTTAGCCTCATCGTCCTCGGCTTTTGCACGATGTTTCCGTTCCTTCTTCGATTCTGTCTTGACCTGATGAGCTTTGCGGACCCTCTTCTCCTCCAAACTCCTTTGTTTCAACTGTCTTCGCTTTGCCTCGCGGATCAGCTCTGTCTCGGCCTCTTCGAGCTGCTGATGAATTGCATCACGCCTGTGGATCTTCTCGAGAAGTTTGGTAAAGTCCCGTGTCAGCCAGACATTTCTAATGCCGCCAGGGAAGACGTCAAACAATCCCCTCAAAGCATGCTCGGTGAGCCACTTGTCGGGAATCGAGCTCACGAGGACTGTGTTTGCTGATGCGCGCAATCGATGTTCGGCACTGGTGAGATAGTCTTGGCGGATTTTGACGTATACGCGGAGCTCGGCGAAGAAGACGCCACAGACCCAGATAATGACGAGAAGAGCTAGAATCAGATGGGCCCAGCGTCGGCGGTAGTGTTCTGGACGGAGATTGCCCCAGGCCAATGTATCCAAGCCCGTGGGGACGTCAGAGTCGTCTGTATCCGTGGTGTTGGTGTCAATCACCTGTTGGCCGAGTCCCCCAACGTAATTGATAGGTATCAAGATGGGAATGACGACAAGGGCGATGGGAATGAACAAGACCAGCAGAGTCTGGAGGTATCGGAGGAAGAAGTAGGCATCGAGACCGCATTTCTTGATGATTTCACGGTCGTTGTATCTGAGCACGGTGGATAGTAGGTTCCATGGACTCGCAGGTGGAGGTTCTGTCCTTTCGCGTTCGGGAACGAGGTAGGTCTTGGGTTTACTGTTGCGCGATAAGTGTTAGTAGGAACTAGTCTGAGCTGCAAGGTGGGTGGTACTTACAAGATCCTGGCTAGTTTATGTCGTAGGAGCAAGAACAGTCCCATCTGGACGCCAAAAACGACCAACGAAGTAGCCAAGGCAGTAAGAAAGGCCACAAGACTGATGCCTCCGAATTTCTGGGCTGAGCCTGCTGAGTCGTTATTGGGTATTTGTTTGGCGGGGCCGTGTGTTGTTGTTGTTGTTGTTGTAAGCACTCTCGATGACGTCGAGCTACTCGAGGAAGATGTTAAACTCGCTGACGATGTTATTGTTGTCGCCAAGGCGGATGATATAGTTGATAATATAGATCCCGATACGGATGCTGTCGATACCGCGGTCGATACGGCCGTTGGCAGCGTCGAAAGAACTGTGGAGGAAGCCATGGTGGCTGGTGAAATCTGACGGCCTCTATGGGCGTCGAGGTTTGTGGTGGAAAGATATCGGTGGTATACCTAGACGGAAATACTCGATCGGGAAAGGGCTGAGGAAGGTATGTTAAGTTCGAAGCAATGGGTCGCAGACCGCTGTTTGCAGGCGAACCCGAAGCTAGAGTGACGGCGCGACTAGGAGGATGTTGGAAGCGAAGGCATCGGCTGTCTTTTGTGTTGTTTATCCACACAAAGCCTTGGAGAAGCCGAGATGATTATTCCTTGGCCAGGCACATATACCCCTTTCCCAGCCAGTGGGATGGTTGGTACAGGAGGAGTCGTCGATCTTTGTGTGTTGCTTTGTGGTATCACGGGGAGGACAATGGGAACAATAGCGGAAGGCGAGATGGGTGTCCAAAGGTGAGTTGTGAGTTAAGGACAAGGGGAAGAATAGTAGACCAGCCGCGAAGGGTTGCAGAATTAGGCGGATGGATAGATGATTAGAGGAAGTAGCCCTATGATAAATCTGAGGGACTTGGGATGAAAAGATGGCAGTGAACCAGGAGAATGGGAAGTATGATCGACAGACAAGAAAATAGGAGCGAGGTCCGTCAAGCGAGACTAGAGGTGGTTCGGGGAGGAAATCGAGGAAACGAAAACTGGTGTTATCGCTGAGAATCTGGCCCTAGCATCCAGTGACGCTATCAGTCCCCCATGACGAACCAAAAGGAGTCAAAAGGATTGACAGTCTCCGGGAGCGCTTGCTTCGCTGGAGCACGGGCGTGGTCTTGAAACTTTTTCGTTGCGGGCCGTTTGCCGGTTGGCTGGTGGCCTTCGTTGCTCAGTTCATCTCAAGAATGTCCCTGAAGACGACGCACAAGATGGGTCAAGATCGGGGTCGCCATGGGGCCAAGCGGGACGGGTTCCAGTGGGCCATGTGCAACGAATGTCTTGCTTCTGATCTGATTGGGCCCGGCACCAAAGTACCCTGGTGACGTCTGCGGCTGCCCTTGTGGCCAATCATATTGCAGTATTGGTGCTCAACCCCATGTCCGGCGTCACTTGCAGCATGCCCCTGAAATCCAATTGTTCGTTGCGCGCCTGTGAATCCTGATTTCCTTATGTCGCTCGTTCCATTGGTTGACATGGTTGGTTGGTGACATGTCCATTGTATCGAGGACAACAAAGCCGCAGACGCGCGCTTGACTGTTCAGTTCTTGATAAAAACCACAACGGCTCGTTTCTCACTCTGTCTATGAAACATCCTTGCGTAACTCAACAACGGACGAGCCCGTTGTGGCTCTTCACACGAAATGGTCTTAGTGCCCCTGAACGACCAGGCGTGCATGGCTGTACAACCGCAACCGAGCTCCGAAAACCACTCGGCGGAGATTTGTGCGTCCTCTAGTGTGGACTTTGGAAGCCTTGGACTAATTTCCGCTGGAACTTGGCACGCCGACCTTCCCTAGCACCCTCCTTTCTACTCTACACGACGCTATTGACGAGTAGTCGAACTCGTGATGGGATATGTATGCGCGATTGATGGATAAACGGACAAAACAAGTTGTGCCCTCACACTTTTGTTGTTCTTGTTCACGGAGGGCATGACGCAACAATGGGAAACAAAGACTTGGCAATGCGCCTGCATAATGCAATCCACGCAGCACAAGAAGGGCTCCGTCGCAACACTGCAGCAAAGTGCAAATAATGCCACCGCACCGGCAGTCAGCTGCCAAGCACGCGTCCTTGCATTCCTCCATAAGAAAATGCCGATAGATTTTCGAGCCACAGAAATGTAAAGCTAGAGTGAGGCGAGCCCAAGAAGAGGCGACAGATGTTGACTTTCCCAACTGGAGCTATGGTGTTTTCCGTGCGCAGGTAAATGGAGACTCGTTGGCGAGATTGTCCCGTCGACATAGGAGGCCTCTCTTTACTTCACAAAACCAGTACTTATCGCGAGTGCATGGTAGAGGTACTGTTGAGTGCCCAGCTAGGGTGCACGAGCCTCCTTCTTGTGGTGCGCGGGCCGTTCTGAGCTCCCGCTTGAACGCAAACATCGCGGTAACAAATCCGAGCTCAATATCTATCGCGGTGGTTGAAACAAGGGAGATTATATATAGGGAATTTCACTCAGAGTAGACTTCTTGCGGTTTGTTTATAAAGATAACCCGCCCGCACCATCATGGATCTGCCCTTTTTTCGGGGAATCAGGGGAATGATGCTGGTGGCATCTCCTCGGGCTTTGCGTGCGCCGTGGGAGCAACCTTTGATGGCCCACAGACCAAACAACAACGGAAGCCAGCAACCATGATATTTTTCGGATATACCTGAAAATAACACCGGTTTGTCTCGCTCCCATCCATGCCTGGGATCAGATAATGACCGAGCCGGTGGCCAGGGGCATTCCCTCAATGTTGCCTTACCCGCCGAGATGCTAAAATCCACCCCAAGGTTTCCCCGAAGATGGTACCTGAAGATTGCTAACAACCAATATCACCGATATCGCATGTTCTTGGACGGGCATACAGCTTAGAAGACGAGGCCCATCTGTCTAGCATCTATAAAACACTGAATGAAGACGGTACAGACCTCTGATGACAAGTCAAGACAGCCCGGTGTTGACATGGCCAAAAGCAGCTCTCCAATCCCGGACAAACATATTTCCCCAGTACAGCGTCAACTTGGTCAAGTACCTTGTTACCAACGGACACTTCCCGCAAAGAACGGCCTAGAAGATCGCGGCAGTTCCCCCGCACTTCCACTTTGGGGGACCTCCTCGAGGCGGATAAAGTGACCATATAGCGGGAGAAAGTGACCATATCTAACCCAAAGGAGAAGTGCACTCAACCTGCACCAACAGCACTACTACCGCGACCACCACTTTCCATCGTCACCTTGAAGTGAGAATTGAAGTTTTCAATCCCTGATTCCTCTCTGGCCTTTGAAGGTGTCGCAGTACAAACTTGAGAAGCAAGACTCGAACGGCTTAACGGGTTGAGATACTTGCCTGAAAGACTTGGGCTCCTAGGTGGATTCTGGCCTTGAGCTTCCCGTTACTTGGACCCTCTTAGCAACCGAACTAGAAAAAAGAAGGGCAATGGAAACTGGGTTTCAAGGCCATAGGGATCCGTTCTTCTCCTTTGACTATCGATTCTCATCTTCCGTCGCGGTCGCGTGTATGTGCGAAGATAGATTGTTGATGTCTTTGGCTGTAGTGTAAAGATGTATCTCCTTTGGGTTAGATACGGTCACTCTATCAGATTACACGGTCACTTTATCCGCCTCGGACCTCCTCCCCCAGGTTTTCCAGTTCCGCCGCTCCGACCCCACACCCCAACTCCGCCTTGGAGTTCATTTTTCTTCTTCACTGGGAGACCGGCCACGACATCCAATTGTTACGGGGTTAGTTCCGGCGGATGGTGGGAAGAAAATGGAAAAGTGTGATAGCAGCGTGTATGGTTTTCCCGCGTTCTCTTATCCTGGATCCCACCTCTTCGGTTTAGATCTCACTCTCGATACCCGGGGTCACATCGATGTTATGTGATTTAGTGGTTCATATATGAGCCAGCAGTCGAAAATGGATAGCTTTACTACTTTTAGCTGCCGAGGTGGGATACTATAACACAGCTTCGTCCTCTTCTTCCATGTTCGTGATTTGAACTTTCATTCTTCTTTTCTGTTCTTGGATCTTGACCTCCAGTTTGAATCTCAACATCACAAATACTTTTATCGACCAGCTTTACACAATGGCCGACTTCCGCGATCTCCGTATTGCCATCATCGGCGCAGGTAAGCTAACCAAGAGTTGTTTCCGTCTCACCAGATGACCGAGTATACTGACGTGGAAGAATCACACAGGAATGGGAGGATTGGGCACTGCCCTCGCCTTCGCCAAAAAGGGGTTCAAGAACATCAACGTCTACGAGACAGCGTCGAACTTGGGCTTCGTCGGTGCCGGTATCCAGATGCCTCCCAACGTCGTCAGGGTATTGGATCGTCTAGGTTGCTGGGAAGAGATCGAGAAGGAGGCCACAGATGTCAAGGAGACTAGCATTAGGCGTAAGTAGCAAGCAGAAACATCCATCCCTATTTCACATCACCTTTATTTTTACCCATCCCGGAGAATAGAACAGAAAAACTGATCAGGCCCCTTTTCCCAAACCACAGAGGGAAGCACAGACGAGGAGCTCGCTCACGTATTCATGCCCGACATGCGCGAGAAATACGGCTTCCCCCACTGCACCGGCCACCGCTCCTCCCTCGCTGGCGGCCTCTACAACGGCTGTCTCAAAGAGCCCGCCATCAAGTTCAACTTCGGCACCTCACTCGTCAGAGTCCTCTCATGGGCGCCCAAGCCGCGTATCCTGCTCAAGTCGCGCGCGCAAGACGAGCCCTTCGAAGTCGAAGCCGACATCCTTCTCGCCTCAGACGGCATCAAGTCCCTCACGCGCACGCAGATGCTCTCCGAGCTCGGTCTCACGTACGAGGAGGCAGACACGGGCCAGGCCGCCTACAGAATCATGCTGCACCGGGACCAGATGAAGGACGACCCGGAGATGCTCGCTTTGCTTGACTGCGACATGGCGGTGCGCTGGATCGGCGAGCGCCGGCACATCATCGCGTACCCCGTCAGCGGACACAAGATTTATAATTTGTCGACGGCGCACCCGGACACCAACTTTGCGGGCGCCACCAACGCGACGTACACGACGCGCGGCGAGAAGAAGGCCATGTTCGAGGTGTTTGGCACCTTCTGCCCGCTCGTGCAGCGCATGCTCGACCTGGTGCCCGAGGGCGAGGTGTGCGAGTGGAAGCTGCGCATCCACAAGACGCTTCCCACCTGGGTGCACGGGTCTGCCGCGCTGCTGGGCGACGCCTGCCATGCTACGCTGCCCCATCTCAGCCAGGGCGCCGCCATGGCTATCGAGGACGGAGCGGTCCTGGCCGAGTGCGTGAGCAGGATCCCGGCCGATAAGCTGGATGATGCCGAGACGGTCACCAAGACGCTCAAGGTGTTTGAGATGCTGCGCAAGCCGTATACGACCACCTTGGTGGACCTGGCGTCGCACTCGGGCCGCGTGCTGCATCTGGGTGAGGGCAAGGCGAAGGAGGAGCGCGATCGGCTGTTCCGTGACAACGGCAAGTCCGGCGTTGTACCGGATAAGTGGGCGAGCCCGGATGTGCAAAAGATGATTTATTCGCATGACTGTGTGAAGGAGGTGATTGAGAAGTTTGATGAGGTCTTTGCAAGCATTGCATGAGTGGTGGGAATCAGGATGTATGCATGATCTTGGTACTGTACTTTGTTGGCGGTATATCGGATGTAGCGCGGCGTAAAATGGTGTTTAGAATTGAGGCTTTACCTAACTTTACCTACTACCCATGAAACTGTGTCGAAACAAGCCGTTATCTCTTTTCAGCCACGCGTGAGGCATAAAGACCAAGAGGTAGCTGCGAACCTGTCATTGGCACCTTCATGAGTGCAAGAAAAAAAAGGTCCTATCCCTAATTACCTTGTTAACGTTTGCCCGCTCCTAAACACATCCGCGGGGTCGTAAACGAGAGCTGTCAGAGTGTAATAAAAGGCATATCAACAAGTTTTCATAATACACAGAGATATGCCAAGGGAACCTGATGGGAACGCAAGGAAGACAGTTGGATACTGGTATAGGAAGAAGAGAAAAAACCAACATAAACGTGTTGTAAAGTAAAACAAGCTAAAGCAACTGTGTAACCAGATTCCCCCCTTGCGCCTCCCAAATGCGTGAATCAATCAATCAAACCTTGTAGGCTCACTGAACTAGGCCTGCCCCCATTCCTAGGAAAACCTCGAGGCAGGGTGAAGTTTCACATGCCCGGCGTGAAACTGATTAGTGAGACGGTGCGGTTGATTTCGACCACCGCCTCTCCAACAGCGGCAAACGGACGGTTTTACTGTCCCCAGTCAAGGCAGCAAACATAACCCCCACGTTCATCCCTTTCCCGCATCAATTTGATGCTATTATTCTGTTATTATTCGTTTCTGACATGATCCCGTTACGGTAATAAGCGGTTGCGGATTGTGTTTCAAGTAGGACCGTGTTTAGAAGATGGCATCCAAGCAGCAGCAGACGGCGCAAGTACCCAGAATTGCCAAGCAGACGTTCTGGAAAAAGACAAGCCGATTAGCGAGGGTGATCTACAGCTAAGTCACGATAACTACCAGGAAGAAAACTCACATCAGAACCGCTCTTCTGTTCTACCGGCTGCTGCTGGTAATACCCTTGAGGCGGGGGTCCCTGCTGGTAATACGCTCCCGGTGGTGGTTGCTGTTGCTGGTAGTAGCCCATCTGCGGTGCCTGCTGGTATGGGCCTGGCTGTTGCCCGTATTGACCTTGCGGCGGGTATTGGCCTTGCGGCGGATATTGACCTTGAGGCGGGTAGTTGGGATCCTGAGGAGGATAGTAACCGCCTTGCTGTGGCGGGGGCTGGCCGTAGGGATAGGCACCACCCTGGGGCGGGGGAGTGCCGTAGCCGGTGTAGGCAGCCTGGGGAGGCTGAGGCTGGTTGTATGGAGGCGGATCTTGCTTGCCGGACATTGTGTCTGAGATCTCTAGTGGCTGTGTGTGCGACGCAAAGGTGATGTTGTGGGTTGAAAAGTTGGGCGCACAACAGTAGACGGTTTAGAAGGTGACGGGTTCTTGATCGCTCTCTAGATTTAAGACCCGAGTCGTTCGTTCGTTCGCTGGGTGCGGGGAAGGATCGAAATTGGCGGTCGATCTTCAGGTATTTGAGTATAGTCTGGTGGATATGGCCGAGACAGATGCCCAAGGTTACTAGCCGTTTCCGTTTGCGATTTTAGGTGTATGCTTGAAAGAAAAGAGGGGTGGAAATGGAGAGGGAAAATCGGTAGATTTTTGGTTGCGGGATGAACGGAGTTAAAAAGCAGCACGGGAAAGACGGGGAGGCTTTGTTTGTTCTTCCGAGGCGCAGCGGTGGTCGCGTGGCAATCTGCAGTTAAGCAGCTGCTAGTGAGCTATAAGCCACTATGCACGAGCACTGGCTTTCATGCAGCTATTAATCATCTTGCACTAACGGATGGGTATCTCTTACAATCACTTGCCCCTCCTGTCCTTCGAACCACATCGACATTGACGTCTCGCTATAACACCCATATTACACATCGAGTTGGTGGAATCCATTGTCAATGAAATGAGACATGGCTTGAAACGACAGGAGAAGTGGCCTCTTGCTGGCCAAGGCTAGAAAAGGGGCATCTCGAGTGGAAATTAGATAGCGATTTCGAGCGATTTAATGAAGCGTTGCCAAGTCCGGCAAGTCGAGGGGGTGGGAGTCATGATAACTTCCCTGTGGATCTTTGCATCTTTCGACGGGTTCCATACTTCTTCCATCGCTTCCTATAAATTTCCTCGGGTCCCAACATTCGTTCTCGTATCTCATAAGGATTGGCCCTGTCCTGTACTAAAGTCGTTGGGCCATCAAACCGTTGGTGTATCAGCTGTTGGTTATCCGTCTCTCCAGCTGCGCCACAGCGGTTTCGGCTTGCTCCCTTGAGGACTAACATTCCGTGTCGCTATTCGTTGGCTATGTGATGCGTGTTGTTCAAGAAGACGGATTGGAGTATACATGGTCTTTTGTCGATAAACGACTCTCTGTCCATGTGAAGATACCGCAAAGACGGGTTTTTCAGAATTCAAAATGCAGGGTTAAACGTGCCCGACAAGATGAAACCACCTACATGCTTCGTAGCGGCTGCCAAATGCAATTGCCAGGCTCTTAACCCTGCGTTCTCTGTCCGATTTGAATTCTGGATGACCCGAGATTATGCGGTAAGCGATCATCCCATGCGGCTCCGGGGATGAAGCCGAGACCGTAGGCGAGTTTGTACAAAGAGTTAAAGTCAAGCGTTATTGTTTGAGCGGATATGCGCGCTTATTATTTGTAACAATCTATGAGCTCTTGTAGAGGTAGTGTGTGCAAATGGTACTCTGCTAACATCTTGGCACGGTTAGTACTCCTGTGAGTGTTAGTGCACATGGTGAATCCACTGATTCCGGTCCGGTACACCTCCATCGTGAGCTTCACCAGTTGACCTTGGCATTCTCAACCACACACTCTCTTTTCAGCAACATCAGGTCTTGAGACTCACTACTTTTCTTCTCGGATTTCTCATCCACATGGTGTAGAACAGAGAAACCGGCGCATAACCTCTCGCAAAGCACCAAGCAGCTCTCAAGTCTCAACAATTCAAAAATAAGAGCTATAGTAAACGAGGGACCACCCACAAAATCACCTCATCAACAAACACCAACAACTCATCACCATTCCTCACCCCAGCAAGAAAAGGGCACAAATCATAATGAATTCCGCCGTCCCTTCAACAGAACCTCAAGGGACACCATCCCCCTCCGATGGTCTCCTCGACTTCCCCGCCTCCTCAGCCCTCAAACTCGAACCGCACCTGCCACCACCACCACCATCTCCCGCTGCCACCACCACCACCGACACCACCAAAAGCAAAACCAGTTCAACAAAGCCCTTCGTAACCCTAACCTTCGCCACATCCCTCGACTCCTCCCTCTCCCTCGCGCCCGGCGTCCGCACCACCCTCTCCGGCCCGCAATCCAAAGCCATGACGCACTTCCTACGCTCTCGCCACGCCGCCATCTTAGTGGGCGTGGGCACCGCCGTGGCTGATGATCCGGGGCTTAACTGCAAGATACTCTCCCCTTTTTCTTCTTCTCAAAGAGAGCAGCATCCCAACCAGCCCCGCCCGATCATCCTCGACCCTTCTGCGCGGTGGGAGGTTTCTGAGAAAAGTAAAGTAATTCAGCTTGCGAGACTGAAACAGGGGTTGGGGCCGTTTATCTTTACGGCGAGGCGAGTGGAGGAGGTGCCGGAGGAGAGGAGGGGGGTAGTGGAGGGGATGGGGGGTAAATACGTCCATGTTGAGGGTTTGAAGGTCAAGGGTGATGGAGAGGGGGAGGGGGAAACGGGTAGTGGAGAAAGTTTTGCGTGGGCAGATGTGCTGCGGACGATCAAGGAGGAAGGGTTGGATAGTGTGATGATTGAGGGGGGAGGAAGTGTGATTAATTCGTTGTTGGCACTGGAGCAAGGGGGAGAGCAAGAGTTGGTGGACTCGGTGATTGTTACGATTGCGCCGACGTGGTTGGGGGCTGGGGGTGTGCTGGTTTGTCCTCCGAGGGCGGTAGGGAGGGATGGGCAGCCGGCGCCGCCGGTGAGACTTAGGGATGTGTCGTGGCATCCGTTGGGGGAGGATGTGGTGTTGTGTGGTAAGATTCTGAGGTAGAGCTTGGGGGACAAAATATGAAGCCTCGCTAAAATCAACTCAGGGGTGTCTACCTGCTGTCACAATTCACTGACTCCGAGCTTATCACGCATTACCAACCTCCTGGGAGAGGTTATGGCGTCCAGCTCCGGGGGGTAAGGGCATAATGTGCATCATATCCACGTTGATTTACCTGACCACTTTCCCGAAAACGCCTCGCTATTGCTCACAACAGATGGGCATTCAAGCTTAGAACTTATTTTGACCTTTCCATCCATATTATTGTATAGTTGACGGTAGCCAATCGAATTCGAGGTGACCCAAGACACAACCACCAACAGTAACCTGCCCGACATTCATCTGAAGGCATCAAAATCATTCCTGCCTGCCGACCGCTTCCACCCTATAAGCCCGTTTCGTCCACATGTTCGATGCTCAAGACTTCTTCAATCCAAACAGATTTCTCTTCTTCTTTTCCTTCACTGGCTTCTCTGGCTTCCCGGCGGGCGGAGCTGGAGGCCTTGCGCCACTCCCACCAGCATGCGGAGGAGCCGCACCACTGTTGATTGTCATGGCACCCATTGCCTGCGTTGGGGGGTGTACCGATCCAGCTCCGGGGGGAGCGGCTGCGGGTGGCCGTTGCATGGGCTGTGGTGGGGGTTTCGGCTTAGCATAAAAGTGCTCAGGGACCTTGGGCTGCGGTCGGTCCATCGGCAGGCCGAGTCTTCTCCTATCCATCGAAAGGTCCTCCAGTTGTCTTAGGTATAGTTGTGGTGTGAGCATGTGGCTGGATACAAGATAGATGTCGCGGTTTCGCTTCTCCGATTCTTCGTAGCATATCCGCGCCTCTGAGTAGGTCGCACCACCGGCCATGAACACGATGACCCTTTGTCGATTCTCAACCTGCCGGCGATTAGCTGATGCCCACCTCGGTGCTGCCGAGCGGAGAGACCCTCCAGTTGCCAAAGCAGCAGCGTCGGCAGCCCCACCATCGGCTGGAGGCCGTGTAAAGGGGAAAGTCGCTGGGTCGAGACAGTTGTTAAACAGATCCTCAAGCATGTGCTTAACAGCCGGTTCGAATCGAGAGAGGAAATTTTCTTCGTCCGCCGGATTCTTTACTTGGGTCCGTGGGAATAACGGAGGATGCGGTTTCCGTTCCTCTTTCAGTTTCCGCGTAGGCCGGGCACCCAGGTGCTGGAGATTGGTGATTTTGACCTTTTCAGCGGGCTGCAAGGCCGCATGGCTAAGCAGCCTGTCAATATCCTCGGTGATAACTCCGTCGCGGTAAAGCACGTAGATGGCAATTAGCCGCAGCCGTTCCACCCAGGTAATAGCTTCATCATCCAAAAGCCGGACCATCTGTTCCAAGATGTCTTTGGGCTTCTTAAAATCCTCATCGAGACCCGTAGCCAGTGTCTGTTCGACCGAAGCGACGTCGGGCAACTTGCGACGCTGAAAGATGTTCATGGAATCCTGAGCCATGGTGAGGTGAAGCGAATAGGCCTCCTTCATTTCCTGGAACTGCGGCAGGCCAGCCAACATGTCCCTGATCGCATTCAAACTCGTCGTATCCTGGGTTTGGTTGGTGAAGTTGGGGTTCTGCTTGATGAAGTTTTGGAAGTCGCTCATGAGTTTTTCAATCGTGTCCTTCATATGCCGATGTCGGTTCTCGACCCACACCTTGTCTTTATCAGACAACTCCATGTCCTTCTCCTCGGCCTCTGGCGTGCCCTCGTTGACAGTCATGTGGAAGGTCACTTTGTCGCCATCCTGGATGGGAAGGAGGTCGTGCGCCATCGCCTGGTACGTGAACTCGTGAACTAATGGTGCCATCAAGTCCATTGACCTGTCCGCAATCAGTAGATATCCCTGTGGCCGTGTGGTTTGTGGCGGAAAGTCGCCCTTGAACTGTTTGTAAGCGTCAAGCTCGTCTTGTACGAGCGAGGCAAGGCGTCCGCATAGTGCGCTCGCACGATATTCGTTGTTCCTGGGTGCGAAGAACCTGATCTTTGGATACTCGCCCAATGTTATGCATACAGCGGCAATCTGCAATAGCTTTAGTCCATGGAACAACAGCCGGGGACGGACTGGACATGGATATGCCATACCTTTTGAGCCAGAGCGTCCAGATGTGGCATTGCAACGGCCTCGCAGCTCGGATTATACAGAATGGGAAAGCTATAAGGGTCCTTAAAAGACACCAGGTGTGACTCGCGAGGGAAGAAGTCAATCAGGAGCGGTCGCGAATCTACGTCGGCCTGATTAGCAAATACCCCTTGACATTGTCCAGGCCTAGGCAAGGTACCTATTTTCTGAGGAGCTGCGGCCAGTCGTGCCCTTAGTTCCCCCCCAAGAATGCCTGTCCATAGCACGGTAGAGTTGTTATAGCGGCCCTTTGCCAAATCAAGGATCAGGCACTCGACAATATGCGGACGAGGCGACAAAATGTAGATAGCATCCATGCCGGAATTCTCGTCTCTCGGTTCCTCGATTTGTTGTATATTAGCGATATTGACGTTGAGAATGTCATCTTCTTTGACGGAGTTGTCGATGATCTTTTTGGAGACGTCGTCGACTATCAGGATCCTCCACTATAGTCCACGGTTGTATCAGTATGGGGCTCCTGTCAGCGGCGGTGGAAGGAAGAGGGGAGTTGTGCTCACGTCGCGCTGGACAACACTCTTGATGGCATTGATAATGACTGTATGGCGAGGGGATTAGCAGCTGTTCTCCATGCGAAAGCCCACGCACCACGAGGATTGTCGCATACCATCATGATGCTCCTTGACTATCGAGGCTGCTTGGTCCATAACTGCTGAAGTGGATTCGAATGTTATGATTTGGGCAGAGCCGGCTCTTGCCTTTGTTTACAATCGGAAGCCCTCGGAGGATTAAAGAGCAGAGGATAATTGGCGTGGTTGTCGGAGTTGTGGTGCGTAGAGGCAAGACCATCCAGGTGCGACGGACGACTCGACGAGGGGATGGCGATGCGCGCGGCGGCGGTCTGTGACAAGGTGAGGCTGTTGTTGGTTGTTGTTCTTTGGTTGCCAGCTTTCAAAGGACGGATCCGGGGACAGGGAGAGCAAGCGGGACGGAACAAGGTCAGAATGTTTCCATGAACTCGGTGTGTGTTTTATTTCGTGTTAATTTCGTTTGTATGGGGGGGGGGAAGTGCTCATCATTCCCCAGCGAGCCGCGAGGTTCGAAACAGCCGACACGGCACGGTTCCAGGTTGAAGGAGGTCCGTCTCGCGGTGTAGCATTGCGGGTCAGGTACCTCCATAACTGGCGGGGACCATAGTTGTCCGGGTCATCGGTGCAGGGGTCTGACACTGGCGTGGTTCTGTGCGCTAGGGACCTCTTTGACAATCCATCTTCTCCGTGTTATCCAGCGACACGCCGATACCTCTACCGTCACCGTGATGATATTGCACCGAGTTCCACGCCGCTACACCCGGACACGACGAGAAGAGTGGGCTGGAAACTCCAACAGTCAACCATGAGTCTATGACGGAAGTCTCAAGATGATGTCCAATACAGTTCGTCCCAAAGGAATCGTGGGCGAGCCCATACATGGCTTTCAACGCGATATCCCTCTCGCCGTTTACCGGTAAAAAAAAAAATATATATATATATATATCAAGCTGAAGCTAGTTCCGACCGGCGAGACCCGTATCGACGGCCGCTTAAACAACACAACCCACGCGAGGACCGGCACGCTCCGACGGGAGCGAGCTCCAGCGCTCCATGGCCTGTACGGGCTTTACCCCACGGGCTCCCGAAGTGTGGAGTCTTCCCGGCTTGGCCCCACCTCGGCGCGGGCCCGACCCGTCTGCCACATCACGGGGGTCAGCGTCGATTCCATCAGCATCAGTGAATTACTCAAACAAACCCTGAGAAGAGATATTGACGACCGACGAGGGGCTGGGAAGCGGCTCTGTTGGCGATCCTGCAGTCGAGAACAACATGGAGCAGTAAGACTCCCGCTTGTACATCCTTGTCTTCGGAGCCATCCGCCGAGCCGCTATCCGTAACAGGCACCTTGGTGAGACATCATTAGGTGTCGATATGCCATCAAGGTTGGTGCTTCACTTGTCACTTTTGTCCAGGAATCGGCAAGCTTCGTTGGTTCAACCCCCCTCTTGTCTTGTCTCTTGAACTTGAATGAAACCTTGTCACGAGAGAGAGCGGGTAGACTACTCTGTCTTTCTTGACGACACTCTAGCTTCCAGCAACAAAAACCGAGTGGTTCGAAGCTGTCATGTCTGCGCATGAACATGCTCTTTTAGTGAGGGCTCCATGCCGGACTTGCAGACAAGACTCCGTCCTTTTTGGGTATAAATGTCGTCTGGGGTTGACTATCACTCGTTGGAAGGCGTACATTCAATCCTCTCACCTCCTGGTAGTTCCATCCCCATGATCAGCCGCATGCTGGGGAGTGTTAATTTGAGACACTCGAAGCCTGGTTTTCACTAGTCGGGGGTGCATCAGGCGGATAGGTAGGATGCTGCTTTCCTGCCGACTTCGCGGAGCTAAAGTGTAAAGGACCGACCCACCTGTCTAGGAGCATGGCGAAGATGGCCACCCAAGGAGTATCACTACCATCTTTACCGCTATCTAAAAAATAGTCTCGGACACCGGTGCGATGCTGGATCCCTAGGAGTCAGCAAACGACCGCTGTATATATTGAAGCGTGGGGATCTGTATCTTCCGCAACGTTATTTCTTCTAATTGGTCCTTCTCTCTCTTTTTTTTCCTCTCTGCTTTTCTTTCTTCCTTTCTCCCTTCCTTTCTCACTAAAGGGCAAAGTAGAGAGGAGAGAAGAAAACGACGGAGAACGCAACGAAGAACACGGCAATAGACAGCGATGAAGAAGACAGCGATGAAGAAGACAGCGATGGAGAAGACGGCGATGGAGACGGCGATGATGGAGGCAATGATGGAGGAGACAACGCTGAAGAAGGCGATGTTGAAGAAAGCGATGATGAGGAATGAGACGATGGGATGCCCGATTTAAGACGGCGATAACCTTATCGATAGGCGATATCGAGAGATATCGTGAATTATTTCAGGGAAGGACCCAGTGCATTCTGAGCGATCGTCCTACGAATTGACCACTCAAAAGCTAGCTTGGAAAAACGCCCTGACCAGTTGTAGGGCCGTATAATTGTGAAGAACGCTTCAGTAACTCCATGTGCACAGCATATTCAATTATTGATAGTAAGAGGCGCCCTGTAGTGTACTGAAGTACACCATGGCAAAGTAAAGTTTGTCCTCGGTTATCCAGGTTAACTCTTGAGGTTTACCGGCATAGCGGCTTCCACGAACATTGGGGGGGACTAACGATTCTTCGTTACCAACTATCAGGTTGTAAAATCTTACCAGATGGGATCATGATGAAAACTCCATTTATCCAGAAACCCAATTCACGCAGAAACTCGAAAGCCCTCGAGTCATAGTTCAAGCGGCTGTCAACTTCCCCCCCCTCCTCCCCTCTGCTCACCTCCCTTACCCTTCCCCAACCCAATCAAGATATTCGGTACCCCTTTCCACGCCCACACATCTCGAACCCATCTGGGTCTCTATCCCGGACCAAAAGATGTCTACCAACATTTCCACCCAAGATGACGAACCAAAGTCACAACACGGCATCGTTTTCCAGGATATCGAGTGCACAGCTGGCGGAGAGGGCCATGGAAAACACAACGACCAAGTAGAGACGACTACTCGACTCCGTTCACTATTTTGGCCGAATTCTCTAAGCACTAGCAAGGAGGGCGTCGTCTACGACAACCACTCCAAGGAGAATCCAAAGTGGTATCAGAAGCTGATCGACGCGTATCAGAAGCTGATCGACGCCGGTGTCGAGGAAAACGGGATCCAGCCGGTTCCGATTGAGGGGAGGACTTCGACGCAGTATAATCAGTTGTTTACTGTTTTCTTTACTGGTTTGTTGTGTTTACTGCCGTAAGTCGTTATCCTATCCTTCGGTCGTCGAGGGTCACAACCTAGCTTAGTGTAGCTGATCAGCTGCTAACTCGACATTCTTTTTGGCTTTTGAAAAGGGTACCAACTGGCATGCTAGCCACTCTCGAGTTTGGCTTGAGTCTGAGAGACGCTTCGTTGATTATCCTCTTCTTTGCGCTGCTTACATGCCTCCCGCCTGCCTTCATGGGGATCGGAGGGATGGAGACGGGCATGAGGCAGTTTGTGCAAGCTCGGTATTCATTCGGGTCAGTCCCAACTTCCACTTCATTAGACCTCTTCCTCCATTTCATAAGAGCCATCTCCTAACCAACACCCCTCTTCCTCACAGCCTCTACCTAGTCATCATCCCCCTCCTCCTCAACGCCGCCACCATAACCGGCTTCACCCTCATGTCCGCCATCGCGGGCGGGCAGACCCTCGCAGCCGTCAACCCCTCCCACGTCAGCGTAAACGTAGGCATCGTCATCACCTGCCTCGTCGCCTTCGGCGTCTCTCTCCTCGGCTTCCACTTCGTCCACTTCTGGAACCGATGGACTTGGATCCCCAACCTGATCGCCCTTGTCATCACCGTCGGCTGCGGCGGCCGCTACCTCCATCTGCAGTCCGAGCCTGCCGCACCGGCCACGGCCTCGCAGGTCCTTAACCTCGGGAGCCTTATAGCGGGATATTTCCTCACGTTTGGCGGGATGGTGGGCGATTATTCCATTTACCACAACCCAAGAGGCGCTCTCAGATTCAAGTCGTTCAGCGCCAGAGCCCGCATCTTCACCTACCTCTACCTCGGCCTGTTCCTCCCCTCTGTTCCACTTTTCATCTTGGGAGCCGCCATAGGCGGCGCCGTTCCCCAAGTTCCTGCGTGGCAAGCCGCTTACGCTTCGACGGGCATCGGGGGCGTGATGATGGAGATGCTTGCTCCCGCGGGCGGGTTTGGCAAATTCGTGATGGTGGTGCTTGCGCTCAGCGTAATTGGGAACATTGCCATCTCCATGTATACCATCTCGTTGAACCTGGAGATGCTGCTCCCGCCGTTGCCCCCTAAAGTAAGGGTCCATCGGTTTGTGTTTATCCTGGTGACGATGGCGGTCATGATCCCGTTGGCGGTAAGGACGGCGAAGGAGTGGCAGACTAGTTTGATCAATTTTCTGAGTGTCATTGGGTATTGGTCGGCGTGCTTTGATGCGGTTTTGATACTGGAGTTGGTGGTGTTTAGAAAGATGGACTATGCGAGCGTCGATCATGCTATCTGGAATGTGGGGAGGAAGTTGCCCCCTGGGGTGGCGGCCTTAGGTGCCTCGATACTGAGTTGGGCGCTGGTGGTCCCGGGGATGGCGCAGTCGTGGTATGTTGGTCCGATTGGAAAGAGGACTGGGGATATCGGGGTTGAGGTGGCTTTTGTGGTGACGGGCTTGTTGTATCTACCTTTGAGGTGGCTGGAGATCAAGATTCGGGGCGGATTCTGATGGACGACATGAGTACGACTAGAGTCCCGCTGGTTACAGACGGTCAACTCGGGTTGCTTAGGGAAGAAAACTGTAGAGGTGTATCTACCATAGCCATCAGGCACCAAATAATGAAAACAAACATGTCGGACACTCATATAGTTCAAGTCGAATATGTGACTCGGTTTATTATGGTGCTGATAAGCTTCCTGGTATCGACAGGTATTAACATCTTTCGAAGACCCTGTACAAGCCCTTGAGATTCGCGACCTCGAGAATGCCCGTCTGCATGAGCGACTTGGTGGCCACAAGCCTCGACTTGAAAGCCGGAAAAAGAACATGTTCCAACGCGAACCGAACATGGTCTCTGCGAGCAACTGTTTCGGCATCGACATCCTTGTCACCACCTTGCACAGCCGGCGGATCATCGGCACCGATAGTCGCTGGCAATCGCTCAGGGACATAGAACATGGCCAGTTCTTTGAGAAAGCCCTCGAAACAGGCCTTCTCTTCTGACCAGTCTACACGTGGTCCAAGCTCCAAGAGAAAACGCGGCAACTTGGCCATGGACGGCGTGTAGCCTTTGACCAGCAGTGGGATGCTTAGCAGCTCGCCGGCCGGAGAAATTTCAAAGGAGAAATACTCGAGAAGCATCTCTCGCCGTTCGACCAACTGATCTGCCACCAACTCGACGATTTCGGATACGTCCATCTCACCATCTCCGTCTTTATCGACTCCCCCAGATGCATCTGCTGTTGCCGATCTCTCGAATTCGGCGGCCATGCTCAGCAGTTCTCGAAGATCGAGGGGCGAATCAAAACGTATGGTACCGAAGTTTCCAAAGTCCGTCAACCCCAGTTGGTAGAAGTATTCATAGCATACCCGTCCATAGTCAACCAGATACAACTTAACGCCACCCTGGATGGCGGCAAGACGACGACGTTCATCTACAATGCCGACAAAGGTGTGATTGGCAAAGATCTCGGTCAGTTCGTGGTGCATCTCTTCGCGGACTTCGGCTCGCAGTTCGCGTACACTGATTAAGCGACAGGCAGTAGCCTCACGCTCGACTGTCTCGTAATTGATCATCTCGACGTCCTTGTTTGTGCCAGTAATGGTTGCTTTGACGCCAGACGTGGACGAAATTCCATCTCCTCTTACCCCTGCTCCCATGGTTGACGCCGGCGGTAACATGCTGGTTATCTTACGCATGTTGGCGTCAGTCCGCACAAGGCTGGATTCGTTGCGTGCTGGGGTCTTGCGGGCTCCTGAAGCCGCACCGCTGGTCTTGGATGGGGTGCTTGAAGACGCCTGTTGATCTGAGGCCGACCATGTGCCACCAGGGAGAAGGGTTTGGGTGAGAAAGGTCCGGCTAGTGTCGACAGCAGCCAACTTTGATCGGATGTGCTCGCAGATGGCCTGGATGATCTCGTGTTCGTTTAGGAAGTTCACTTCGCGTTTCGTAGGGTGAACATTAACATCAACCCGCTCAGGGGCAATTTCTAGGCTGAGGTAGACAAAAGGGTGGCCGTTCTTGGGGAGAAAGGAAGTATATGTTTGCTCAACTGCCTTTCGAATGTTGGAAGACTCGACACATCTGTGGTTGATGAAGAGCAGCAGAGTTGTCTTTTTGAGATTGTAGTTCGCGTTAGTCGCCAAGCCCTTTGCCTTGAAGCCCCAGCGGTCATCGGATGTTGAGTATTCGATGAGTTCGTTGGCAACGCTGCCTCCGTATATCTGCCGGATTCTGTCGGTGCTCGAAGCATTGGCCTGAATGGCAATGCTTGTCGATGACTCGCCGTGCTTTTTACACGAGAAAGCAACGTGCGAACAATGTACAGCATAGCGGCCAACCATGTCGATGATCTTGTTGTACTCGTCAGAGGTAGATCGAAAGGCGCGCCGGCGGGTTGGAATGTTATAGAACAGGTCTTCGACGGTAATCTGCGTGCCTTGTCGACCAGCGACGGGCTTTGGATCAGGCGACTGGCCGGGTTTTGCGGGAACCAGCTTTCCGCTCCCGTAGTGAGCACGCCAGGCGCAGTTGGATTCGTGAGTCTTGGTGGTGACGGTCAGGTGTGCAATGTGGCTTATGCTGGCAAGAGCCTCACCGCGGAAGCCGTATGTTGAGATGGACTGAAGATCCTCGAACTTTTGCAGCTTGGACGTAGTAAAGCGTTCACATAGAATGGGCAAATCCTGCTTGTCAATACCGCAACCATTGTCTGTGATCTGGAGGAGTTTGAGGCCACCGTCCTTGACCACAATCTCCAACGAGGTAGAGCCGGCATCCACGGCATTCTCCATTAGCTCCTTGAGAGCATGAACAGGAGCAACAATGATCTCGCCAGCGGCAATCTTGTTGACAACGTCTGGGTCAAGGGGCTACAAGTACAGGTCAACAATTTCATTGTCTTGGGAGATGGAGGAGTGTATTTTCTTACCCTGATCCGACGTGGAGCATGGCCGCTGTCATCGTCGAAAACGCTCGCCTTGCGCTTTTCACCCCTTGGGCCATCAATGGCCATTGCATCAGCCATTGCATCAGCCATTGTCAACAGTAGGCACAGTTGAGACCTATTAGGCTCGTCCGTTATAGCTGTTGGCCGTCTCACAAGAGGTAACGACCGCGTGAAGAAGCCGTCAAGTTTCCTCTGCTAGACGCGCTGGGCGGTTTGCAGGTGGTTTGCTACTAACAATCACGGTCCATCTGTTCCGAAGGGAAACGTGATACCGTGAAGCTGCCACTCCACCGTGAGCAGCGATAGTCTATGGTCAAGCTAGGACACCGCGAAGGAATGAAGCCAGTCCTACTTTCCTCGACGGACGAACCTGGAGACTCGCGGTTGAAGTTGAGGTTGTTAGTTGTACAAGGCAGGTACGAACGAGATGCCTACAAGTGGAAGGCAACAGCGGCTCCCGGTCCCTTAAGTGACCAATGCGGCGGCCCAGTCGACACTGCCGTGACAGCTTACAGGCGCAGTTAATAGTGGACCTTGGGCACGTGCATAACGGTCCATAGAGGATTGGGTATGAGGTCTTCGACCAACGGAATTGTCACCACCAACAGTTTTCTCATCATCCTTCACACACCAGACGTACGAGGCAACCCACTATTACCCTATTCAAACCACGGCTGACGAACATTGCAAATTTGACGACCGCTTCAATCATCCAAAGAAATGCGGGTCCTTTCCACTTCACCCAGCCATGTCTATGGCTATGGGTTTATGAGTCTACATCTTTGGCTTCTGCGATGCGGTTCACGACCACGGATACGCGCCTGGGTTTACAAAGCACGACACTTCACGAATTGACGGAACATACAATTTTGTTCTACTTTCCTGTTGCCTGTCTGACCTCAATTCAGCTCGACTGAGCCACAACGTCTCTGGAAGGCCATCATCTTCTCCGGTCATGGAATATCTCATTCTGTGCTGGATCTGCCTCTGCGGCCGGGGTTCGGAGGTCTCCAAAGCCAGGCTTCCATTGAGACTGATGTCACTGATGTGTCAAGTGACAAACACATTACTTTGCGCCTCAGCATCACAGGAAGATACTATCATGTCTAGCCGATGATTGTGTCTCTCCCCGTCTTTCTCTTTTCTGGCCTCCTCATGTTCCTTTGCCTGTGGTGAATATTCCTCCCGTCACTTTTTTCCAGATTCTTGGTATCAACAAGGTACAGTGTGTTGCATGCCACCCTCCTCCCACTCTTGCTTTAATCGGACCCCTGCTCAAGGGCTGGAAGCCACGCTACCGCCCCATTCCTTTTCGAGGCTTCCCGGAGGGCTCTCTTCAGCGTGGAGGTGAAAGTGGTGCCAAACTCGGTGAAGAGAGATATAACAGCTTCATTCTGCCTTTGTCATGTCTAAGCCATCCGCATTACCATTCATCTCATCTTCGACAAATCATACCCAAAATAAAATCAACTTCATACCTAAAGATGGTTGAAAAACAACCACCGGAATCTTCTCGGTCTCTGTCTCCAGGACGCACTCCGAGTGATGCAGGCTCTTCTGTTCAAGTCCATGCGGACAATGGAAGCACCAGGTGCGTATGCTGACTTCATTATTCCTCTGGCCAGATTTTCTCACTGACCTTTTGGCAGAACACAGAGCGTAACAGGAACAGAACGATCGTTGACCCCATCTGTACGAGATTCAACACGGATAACTGTCGATCCTGTCAGAGAGAGACTGTTCCGGACGAGACCGTCATCACTATTTATTTCATCGCATGGCAGCGAGCCACCTCTCCGTGATGACTTACTGAGAGATCTTATTCATTCTTACGATACCCACCTCGTCAGCACTGCTTCAGTACCCGTCAGCCACAGCCTTAAACGTCCACATGATGAGGAACCCACAGACACCGAGCCCCTAGCAAAAAGAGACAGGCTTATCGAAGAATTAGACCAGATGGAATCCAGTGGGAGTAAAGCAGCCATTGAGTCCTTACAGACCAGACAAACAGAGATCAATGAGCACGGCGATCCGGTTGCTTCTACTCGTGCTGAGAACACAATACCAACTTTAGAAGGGCATACCAGAGTCGTTCTACCGATAAGGTCCTCCACGAAAAGACAGACCAGTCGGCAACAAAGCGGACATACAACCGCACTGCTTGAACAACATGGGCATGCGGAAACAAACTCGGAGAAAGGCACCTGAAAAAGCCGCCTGCTTGATGATTCTCTACAGTGACCAACAGATTGGTATGATTTCTGGTTGATGATGTTGTTTTGCTTTTTCATTTGCCCATGAAGTTTAACTAGACATAGGCCTTGCGAACCAAACAGACGGTAAACAAGGCGTCCTTACAAGACATTTCTCGTTACTTACACCTGAGATCATACTAAGAGGGCTCTGATGTTTCGTCAATCTATGAAGTTTCCCCTTGTTGTTATGCTTAACTTGTTACTCCGCAAACCGTCAAGCTCTCTCTCCCGCTTACTAATCTTTGTCCGTACAGAAAACGAACCGGCACGCAACTGGCTCCAAACAGCCCAGGAATCTGCTAGGTCCGCAGGAGATCTTCCGACTTGCGATATCAGGCCGAATAGTCGGGATATATAAACCAAATACCTCCCGCGGACACTCACCTCATCCACCTAGCACGTCAAGTTAAGCACCTTTGCTACCACCATGGACGACCAAGTTTACTCTTTCATCCACGATCTAGGGCCCATCGGGGAAAGCCTTCCCCCCCGCCGGCCCCCATGCTTCCAATGCACATTCGACACTGCCAGACAAATCCACAGCGCCAGGGTGCTAATAAACGACAGAGACACCATCAACCTTGTCAAGAAGACCCTGTGCTTTGTCGGCCAGTCTGCGATTAAACGCTGTAGCAAGTGTGATCAAGCCAACGAGCAAAGATGTTACGATTGCCCCCGAGAGCTGACCTCTCTCCGTGACAACCTTTAGGAGCGGCTGTCGAGAGTGGATACTAACTCTACATCTACCGGCGCCCACCAGACAGATGTGAATTACCATCCTCTTCGCGACCTCCGCATGGCTGCCGCAAATTTTCTTGAGCATACTCGCCTGTTCCTAAAGAAGCACAATCTCGAAGAATTCGATCAACTTCAAAGTAATCTCAAGGCGTCGGTGCCCCAGCTGGTCGAGTGGGGGTGCATCGATGTCTCGGTCACGCAGCAGGCGGAGGAACAGCAACAACAACGGCAGCAGCTGGTCGATTGGGGACCCATTGATGTCTCGGTCGCGCAGCAGACACAAGTTCAGCAGGACCCCTCGTCCTTGCACTCGCCCTCTTCCGAGCCTCTTCAACAGGCAGCTACCCCTTCCTCCTTGACTTTGACGGAGGGACCCAATCCCAGTTCCAGTCCCAGTCTCAAGCCAACACGTTCATCAAAGCAGCAGCCACAATCGCAGCCGCAGCCCCAACAAGACGAGATCAAGAAGATCCATGCTACCCTCGAGGACATCGAGGTCCAACTCCACATAATGCTCGGCATGATCAGCAGTATGTCTCGAAATATCCGACGAGAAGCTATCGCACGCCATGAGGAGATCAAGGAGCTGTTAATCCGCAACCGCAACGGCAATAGCGATGACAATGAGGACGTCAACGGCAACGGCAACGGCAACGACAACGGCAACGACAACGACAACGACAACGGCAACGGCAACGACAACGACAACGACAACGGCAACGGCAACGACAACGACAACGACAACGACAACGACAACGACAAAGGAAAGGGCATTGACAAGGGAAAAGGTATTGATAAGGGAAAAGGCATGGACAACGGAAATGGTAGCGGCAATAGAGACGGTTTCAACCGCGGTTTGCCGTCTTCAGCATCACCTGGTCCAAGTTCTTTACAACCGAGTCCTCATATTTCCGACAACGGAGAGGGTAGCAGCAATGGAGACGGCTTCAATCACGGTCGGCTGTCTTCAGCATCACCCGGTCCTGGTTCCTTACACCCGAGTCCTCGTATCCCCGATGAAGTTCGCGCAATGAACGCCAAGATGTATCCAGAGATCTCACCAGAGCAGTTTCAAGTTATCCGGGCGATATATATCGCTTGTCTGCAGCATCCGGAAAAGGTGGGCGAGTACAGGGAGACATTAAGAGTTATGCTACAGCGGCTGCAAGCAGAGAAGGGCTCAAGCCGGAGGAAAGAAAGCAGCCAGGACCCATCAGTCCGCGAACCCGGTGCCTGAGGTGCCGCCTCGTCCCTAACAGCTTTCAACGAAACCGAAGTTCATCAACCTCGTAGTGCGCCACTCCGGGGGGGTGTCCTATATCGAAATGCTGGAATCCAGATACTATCCCCCGGAACCTTTCCCCGCCCTGCCACATCCCGCCCCGTAGAAACCAAGAAAGAAGAAACCGAGAAGGAAGCAAGCTGATAGAAAAGAATGAGTTTCGCGGGTACTTGGCAAGTACCAAGGGATCATTCTTTGTTTCCGTGTTCAGATTAATCACTGCAGTGTAAACGCAGTTTGAAGGCTGCGCAGACAGGACAGGCATTTCGTGGAAAGATGGATAGATGCAGGAGTCACGTGGTGAGGACGGGATGGTGTTAGGGAAAGGAAAGGAAATCAGGACGAAGGAAAGTGTGAGTTGCGTGACGAGAGAGCTGGGGTTCTAGAGAGAAAGGGAAGAGAAAAGGAAAGAGAAGGAAGGATACAGATAGAAGAAATTGTGCATATCGAATCGTACTTTCCCGTCACCATATCCCCACATCATGAAACGATGAAGATGGACTGGCTGAGGCCTGTTAACGCCATACTGTTTGTTACATGTGGAAGGTGCACCCTGCGTAGAATTTCCATCTGCAGAGTGAAGGTAATTAGCTGAGCTTGACACGCCTTTCCCCTTTCATCTAACCATGCCGCAATTAACCATTGTTTTCCCTGCCATCAAAGTCATCTAGATTCGTTACAATACGTAGCTGTTTGGCAAGCTGCTATAGAGTAAGGTAGCACTGAACTGAACCATATCAACTCTCAACGTACTAGATCAGTACTTAAAAGTTAAAACCAATCCCAGAATCCACACTCAAACAAACAAACAACCACCGCTTGGACTTTCACTTTTATCATGTCGATGTCTTTGTTGACGGTGATGCTGATCTGAATACCTAGGCACGATGTGGTTTACTAAGTTTGGTACAGTAATGTAGTATACGCCACCCCGCCTTACCTTACAAGCAGCTTATCTTACCTTACCCTATCATACCCTCAAGCAGCCAAAGAAGAGAGAGAGAAAAAATCCCCGAAAGGTGTGATTTTCTCCGAGGTCTATTAGCTTGCCGTGCTTGCGTTGGACGAACCAACGAATGAGGGATGTTCGGGCAGTCCTGTGCAGCAGGGTGCAGACTGCCTCGCTGCGGCGTGGTACGTGAGACGCTGAATGTTAGGTGTAAGGCAATACAGAACAATGTCACCTTGGCAAGAATGCTGGGTAATTATCAGGGAGTGGTGTGATATTGAGAGAAAAGTGTTAAGAGGCTAACAGAGGCACTGCTGTAACAATTTACTTGTAACAGTCAAAAACCCTTACAAAGGAAAGGAATTCCGCGCCGCCAGCGTGCGTGTGTTCCTGACCAACGATCCTTCCTGCGTATCAAGGTTCCTGAACAAAGGATTGTTCCTGCCGCCACCTATTGAATCCATGTGTAACGTTGTCGGTTAACCAGTGTAGGTAATTTTGAACTTCACTGATGAAAGGAATGAGCCGAATAATCACCTTGGTTTGTATTGGAAAAATCAAATAGGTCAAATGCCAACTGAAATCAGAGACCGTCTCCGTGTGCTCTTGTAAGCATATCAATGCGAATGTTCAGAGCTTGGTGGCTTGTGTTTCAGAAGAAAGGACGGGGATATGCCATGGTCAATGTCCGTGAAACTGAAACTCGATGTCTTCGGGCGGTAATGTAGGAGCCGCCGCCTAGGTAACATGACCGTATGCGTGGCATGCGTCTGTGTACTTTTTTGTGTTGCTGCGGCTCCCGAAGCTTGCTTCGTGGCTCGAACATCCGAAGGACATTTGGTGGTGTTTCTTTGTTGGGCTGTTCCTGTTGTTTGCTCTCTGGCCAGTTTGCCCGAATCACGCTTGCCGCAGCCCTTGCTCCTTCGACCCCGAAACTTTATTCTAACGTCGTTCGACTATCGCCTACCTGTTTCAGTTCTTTATTTTCCTCCGATCATGCTACCATTACGCGGACATCACGCAATGGTCAGTCCAGGCTGAACAATGAGACGTCCACGTTGATTCACCGCACTGCTGAACCTCAAACCATCGATCGGCGTAACCTGGTGTCTGGTTTGATCATCGGCCCAAACTGCCTTCTAACATCCTCGAATGGCGACAAAAAGCGAGCGGGTTCCCGATTCCTCCAACCCACGCATGGTATAAAATGGAACTTCTCCCCACGAAACGACATAACATTGAACTGGTGCGAAGATATCAATTTCGAACTCGCCGTTATCGATGGAAATATCCGTACGGCGTCAACAATATCCGCCAAGCCACCACTTGAAGTACAAGAACCATATCAGTTTCAAATCATAACGCACAAAAAAAGCTTTGGGTATAACCGGAAGCCAAAAACGAACGCCAGGAACTCGCCGAGCCCAAAACCAAGAACAATGCAAAGAGAAAAAAGACGAAATGTGTATCGAGGATAACATCAACGGGCAGGAGACAACATGCTTGGAAGGCCCAGCGACAAACAGCCTTCGCTTTCTGGTGACGCACCAAACAGTCCAACCAAGGAACCATCATGTGCAAGCTTTACATTGGTATCGTCTGATGCATCCGGCACACTTTGACGGGGGTAACAAAAAAAATATTCCAAAAATAAAAACACCTCTGAAACACGACCGATCAAGGGCTCTCCCTAATATAAAAGGACGTCATCATGAAACCCTTCACCTATCGCAGCCCAGCTCTGTTCTCATCAATGAGGACGTAGCTGACATATCGTCTATTGGCGGGCGTGCTCAGCTGGGTTGGGATGATCAAGCAAACCGCCAATATCGACTCGCGAACGTTCCTCCCGGCTTCGGTATTGCACCTCCTGCGGTTGAATAGCATGCGGTTGGTGGTTGCGTATCGGCGGTAGTTGAAACGCTGGCAACGGGTCAGGTCGGCTTGGCGATATCAGCTCGCTCCTTGGGATTTGGAACGGCGGCATCACACTGGCATATTCCGTTCTACTTGGCGACGAGATATATGCCGACGGCATGTTCGCCCCAAATCCCGTCATACTTCGTGGTGGCGGTGGGGCGGCTGGTACATGTGCCCCCTCTCCATATCCGCTATCGGCAGGTCGTGAATGCCGGGGACCAAAATCTGTCGTGACGGGCGGCCCTTGCGTGTATGGCTGGTATGACTGAGTCGTCTCTCTGATACTAGGTGAGGACTCGGAATAATTAAACGGTCGCACAGGGCTCATTAGCAGCAGAACGACATAGTATATGGAGTCTCGCTTGGACAACGCAGTCCGAAGTGACAGCTGCCGCGGTAGTCCATCTTGTCCCAGGAAGGTGAGGATATCTTGTCTATCCAGTGGGTATTTTGAGATTTCCTCCGGGGAGAAGCTCAACATATCCATGACCCTTTCTTCCTCTGCTTTTCCGAAAATAGGTGGAAGATAGTTTGGTTCGTTTCTCCTTTGTTGGTCCACCATCTGTCGCTGGATAGACGCTACCTTCTCTCGATCATGCCCCACAACCAAATCAGCGAGTCTCAGGCCATGAACAGACACTCTGCCGATCGCATCCAGGAATGTCTTCGATGCCTTTCCAATTTGAAGATCGACTGTTAAATAGGCCACTGGCTCTGGAGGTCTTGTTGGCATAGTCAAGGGCGCGAGGAAAACGTTCGAATCATGGGCTGAGCCTCTTTCGGCAAATCTCGACATTGCGGAGTCGGGCGGCTGTGATTTGAGGACGCGGTATGACTGTGTTCGGCGAAGGGTGTCGTCGAACGTAAGGATTGACGAAGAACCAGAATGATATTGAGATGACAGCGGCCTTCTCATCCCATCCGATGGAACGCCAAACCTCGTACTGTCGTATTTTATATCCGCCCTATCATCCCGCAACCGTGGACGGCCACGTTTCTTGTGTTGAACGTCGATGCATGCGTCGTCTTTGCCGCTACTGGAGCACCTCGAACATGGACGCCGTGCTGCAACCAGTTAGTAAAGTCCTGACGCGGGTAAATTACAAGCCGACAATCCTGTTGGTCATCCAAAGCACACCACAGCCCTGACCAGGAAGTCGAGTCCAGGAAACGAAAGGGACGCTCGCTTGAACATATTTCCGTCTCTGTCGAAGCATCGATACGTTGGCTTCCCGCTGCTGCATCTCTCTCCCAAGGTCCCGAACGCCAACATTGGCAAATCTCTGATCCGTCACACACTCGTGGAACGTCGCGCTGGCAAGCGATGGAGGTCTTTCAAGCTAGCCGTCTCACTGATTATAATCGCGGGTTTTGACAACTCACGTAGCCCCTTCGGAGGGCCCTAACTTGGAAAGTCGTGGTATCTGGTTAAGGTATCTTGGGAAAAAGAAAAATCTCACATACCATCGCATCTATCAAATCATTAGCACTCAACCTCCGAAACCCTCCTCATCTCCGGCAGTATCGGGCCAACTAACCTTAGGTGGGCTCTTTTACAAGGCACGCATGCAGATGCCACATGGCCTTTGGTCTTCCTTTGGGGCTTGGGTGACGTCTGCGGGTGAGAATCATGCCCTGGATGATACAGAGCCGTGGAATGGGGCGGTGGACCAGGCAAAGGACCTCCTACACTTCCTGACCCAGCAATCGGCGGGAAAGAAGGCTGAAGGGTTGCTGTACCATGCGGTGCATCGTAGGGATGCGGTCTTGTCATCGATGACTCTGCGCGCTGATACTCGTACGACATGCGTTCTGGCGGATTTGGGAGAAATGGGCGTGTATGAGCCAAGGCCCTCAACTGAAGTCCTTCATCTCCGTGGGTGACTGCAATCCCTCGATAGCCATCTCGAGTCGTCGCCTGGTATACGCCCTGACGTCTTTCGGCGGCCTCTTGGCTTGCTTTCGGGGGAAGTGGTGGGGACCCTGACATGGGCGGAGAAGGATAGCTCTCCGAGCGAGCAGTGCTCTTAGAGTCTGCCCTGACCCAGTTGAGATCGAGAGCAAATTGAGCCAGGTCGGTAATTCCCCGGCGTTTGCCGAGGGTGTTCTGGAGGACGTCGGACCTCTGACTCAAAGGTTGCATGGATGGATCTGTTCCAAGGTGACAGAAGGGATCAGGTATCCCGACGGTCTCTACGTCGAAGACGGCACCAGGATCCGATCAGCGAAGACCCTCACGGACTAGACAAGCAACCGAAAAAGATCCGAGTACCAAGTTGACAGCGGACATTCCCAAATGCAATATGCGCAGTTTTGTGTTTGGCGCAAGGGGTCGTATTTGGGATTCTGGTTGCTTCTTATCCGCGCCAGTGCCTTTCGAATCTACACGCCAAGTTTGAAAGGCTGGTCTGAATAAACCGGACGAAAAGATATCTGGTTGCGGGATAAGATGGCTGATGGAGTGATAACGAAGGCCCTGAGCCTTTGGAGCTTGAACGCCAAGGCTGTTGTCTTTTTGAAGCCTTTAAGGGCAAGCTAGGGCTATCAGCGTCGACGAGGCCAGCTATACGGCCAGTGAAGACGACAAGCACACACGGCCAGGCCGTTGGGTTGGACAAAGATGATGCAGATGATTCTGGTTCAGTGAATGTTCGGGGCGCCAGTGGCACTGTATGCAGTGTTTCGTGCGAGTTAGGTTGTTGGATGGGAAGAGGTCGTTGACTCGTCGTTGTCGGGGGGCTGCAGACCGAAACGGTGCGTTCTCGGGGCCTCTGGCGTGGACTATAAGAGGAATAGAGGTTGAACCAGTTGAGACACACACCTGGTGGAAGGCGTGTTTTGTCTTTTTGGGTCTTGTTTAAGGTCGACCTTTTGGTTGCTGGGATATCGCGCCCGTAAGTAGTCGGCGGCCAGGGCAGTCGACAAAGATTTGGTGTCAGTGGCACCAGGTGGTTTTTGTGCGACTTATTAGCAACGGCGCAATTGAGATGGGGCCAAGATGGAGCATGGATAGGCGTAGGTCAAGGTACCCTGGCCAGTAACCGTGAATGGGTCGTTGCAAATCGAAGGGTAGGCAGGGTAGGCTGCAATGCCAGCAAGCCCCCCTTGTCTCTCCCCATGCCATACCCAACTTCTTTTTTGGAGTTGCAGGGCAGCCGGACGGCCAAGGTGCACACGAATTTGCTGGATGGATGATGGATTGGGCCCGGGGTGTCAAGAACAGTGGCCGCCAGTCCCAGATCCAGTCCCGGCAGCAGGGAAGAGGGAAAGGGTTGTGGTACTTGTTTTGATCCGACCCATCTGGGTGGTGCTCCCTGGTGGTGCTTCGTGGTGGTGCTGTTTGGGTACTGGCTCGCGGGCTCCTACCTCTACAGTGGAGGCTTGTTGCCATGCGCTTAGTACTTGGTGGACGGCTCCGGTCAGGTTTTGTCCTCTCGCTCGCACGGCCAATATCGACGTCCGCCCACCCACCCACTCAACCTGAGGCTGTCATGGCTGGCAGCCGTTGTGAGCAGTGAAACCGTCCTAGCGCAAGACGACAGCACCAGGCGGTTTCGTCTCGCCTCGGGAGAAGGAGGAGGAGGAGCAAGAAGCTGGGGGAACAAGAGTCGAGACAAGTTCCAAGACCAGAACACGGAATAATGCGCGAAGAAGCATGTCTCGCGTCGCCGCTTTTTCAGGTATCAGCGTGTCTGTCGGCGGCCGATCCCATCAGGACCAGCACCGGGAAGTCAGTATGGCAGTCAGTACCCGGGAAGTATATCCGCCCCCATGCAAGATGGCGGTTGTCCAGTGCATGCGGCCCTGGCTGTGTACGGTTGCAATGGTCCAGCAGGCACCCACGAGCCACCCCGGTTGGCTACTAGGTATACCTCGTCAATGTACCAGGGCGCCATTTGGTGGAGGTATATACCGCAGCCATGTTGGGTCCCCATGTTGATGTAAGTCGACCGACTCGACCCAGTTACAGAACGGAATTTGTGCATGCACTGCACTTACTGCAGAGCAGATCGCTGAGGGCGATGAGCAAGGATGCGACGAGGGTGGTGAAATGATGTCGAGGATGGCCGATCCCTCCGCTGTCGACGGCGAGATATGTGAGATGGGGGTTTGATCTTGATCTTCAACACATTCCGTGTCCGGTAAGGTTCGAGATGTCGAGGGTCTGGAAACGGACCGAGAAGAGCATCGGACCCTGAGCTTGCAATCTGGAACCTCGCGACTGAATTTTGTCCGTGGCCATGACAGCTGAGCCTGGAGAAGATGATGGGCTGAGGCACTGTCTTGAGAACAAAAATCGTCAGACATGGCCAGCCCAGTGTGCTTCTTTCCACTTCCACAACCCGGCGCGTCTCCTTCCGTAACCTCCGCCGTTTGTTTGCTCTTTCCGGCTCCAAGGCTAAACTATATTCTCTGTGCCTTCCCAGTTTGTGCGTCACAACCCGCGTCAAGGTGCTGTCATTAATCAAGCCTGTCCCAGAACGGAAGGAACCCGGCTGTCAGGAACAGGCGTGCCGGAGAAGGTGCAGCAGCAGCAGCAGCAAGCCACAACTTTCGACAATCCAACCTCAGCTCACGACTTCCACCTAGAGGTACAGTTGATATTGTATGGCTTGCCCCAATCGTCCGACAATTCATGGTGTTGGTCTGGAGGTATGTAGCACCTTTACTTATCCTCCGAAACTCAACAAGTTGCTTCAGCCGAAATTCGACAATGGTCTCGACCGGGCAGGCAGAAGATTCGCAGATTAAACGTGCTGATACCAGTACGTATCTACATGGCTCCAGTCTGTGCCCCATGGTTGCTTCCATAGCGGGACGGAACACTCCAGGGGGGCAGGAACCTGGGAGCCCAGGATTGCCAAGAAGGCAAGGAACTCGCACATCCATCATCACACTCATTGTCCAAGTGGCCGTTGTCGAGTAAGATCCGAGTCATCTTTGACCTTTTCCAATTACAGCCAGTCATCTGCCCCAAAATGAGATGCTAGCTTCCAGCCAAGTGGAATTCTCCATGTTCTCCACCCCAAACCTTGTGTTGCTCATTTAAACCGGCGGATGGCAGATTACTGGCAGGCACCCAGCAGTGTACCACCCGGAATCTCGGTCTATTATAGACCCCTGTCTGGAGGTGAGATAGCTTCCAAGTCACAGAGAGATTTTCCCCGTCTCTCTATCACAGCTCCCTACACGAAAGGTATTTGCCCATTCTGACGCCGCCCTTCTGGGATCTGCGAGGGAAGTAAGACGGTCCGGTCAAGACAGGATACGGACCTTATCATCACGACCGGGTTACAATTACCAGTCGGTCCAAACATCGTCTTGGTTGTGGTGCCAAAATCTCCCTTGTCCCACCCGCTGGCACAACCTGGGGCTACCTCTACGACCTGAAGCTATGAAATACCTACCCTGGGAGTGGAACCCCTGGTTATGTGTGACCATAGGCCCTTGTTGCCTCTTTCAGTTAGGTTTCTCTATCCGTGTTTCCTATGGAACCCCATCAGCCTACATACAGCCATCGTTGACCGTTTATCTTGGTATTCTGACACAACGACTTCTAGATATCTTATACACATATACTAAGGGCCGATTTCCAAACCGGCCAGGTTGGGCAGTAGAGGCAGTCTTACTACCTTTACCTTGCTGGTTGACCACTAACAGAAAAGACTCAGATACTCCCGGGCTGTTGCCTCTTCCCTTTACCCCGGAGAGTTCTGGTCGAGCACACAAGATGTGATACTGTGCATCGATTGGGCAAACCGTGCTAGTGAATGCAATTCTTGCCTAGCGGGATTACATCACCTACGGCCTGTCTACAGTTGGGAGTCAAAACGACAGGAGAGCCAAGGACCCAAGAAGCGGCGCATCAATAGCACAACGCTCGGCCGTTGCAGATCCACCTCGTCTTGTCTTACAATGTTGTACAGGTAACAGCACGTACAGTAGCGAGCGCTTCATGGTGGTACCGGAACGGTGGAAACAAAAGATGAAGGGCCCAGGTGTGGAAGTTCCTCACTATCTTCTCCATGTTAACATCTGAGCACGCTCCTGTTAACAACTCCTTTTTCATCATCAACGGCTCAATAATGCTGTATTCAAAGGCATGGTATCTGCCATAGAAAGACGATGATTGGCTCGGCTGTGCCTTATACTGATCCAGACGACCCATCAACCGGGAGTGAACTACCAGCTTTCCTTCCTTCCTCCCGGTCACAGATACAGATGCACCACGGTCCACGCTTATTGCACACTCGCTGCGGCCCGCTACAGTCGAAACGAACGGTTACAAAATGGCCGCAGACATGGGCCGCAGACCAAGCGATGCACTTCATCTAACTCGATCGGCTCTTGTGATTGCACCCGCCATCATCCTGCCCCGGTCCCGCCTTGAGGGGTCGCATGTAATTTATTCGGTCTAGTCAACGGCGCCTATTTGTTTGTCTCCCGTATGCTTTTCCAGCACCACGAGTGTCTTCTATCACCCGTATACTAACCGGCGATCCCACACTGATCACTTGCTATGCTGACTCTGGGGAAATTACTTGGACGTTTTCACCATCGCGGCATGTCACGCTGCCCTGTTTGACCCATCCACCCATGTTCAATATCGTCACTCTTTTATTCGACAACATGGCTTATCTGGAGATAGTCTGAGCGTGGTTGGATTACAGTTATCCGTTCAACTTCCAACAACCCGAACTCAGCGCCACTACGCAGTCCTAGCAGTAGACATACGTCTTTGCTGAAATCAAGGGTGACATTGACCAAAGGATCGGCGGCTGGGCTGCCCTACTGATCTACTTCCAGACCACGACTCAAGAAGAACACCTTGCTTATGTTACGGATAAGTGCAGTGCCGGGAAGATGAAGTAATCCGCACACCTTGCTATCTGAGTCTCGTGATGAATCTGATTCCTTCATCACTGCCCTACACAAGCAGGTACGTAAAGGATTTTGAGCGCTTGGTCTCTGGAAAGGTAACATCGCGTAGCAGCTCATGGCGATCTGATAATTTGCAAGTATCATCAGAAGGCACTCTAAACGAAACATTTCAACCTCTATAACATGGTTAAACCACTATCAACATGGATCATTGGTCGATCAAGTTGACCTCCCAGGACTACTCAAGGAAAGACGACTGAAGAGTGTGGTTATCAAGATTGTCATCCAGGTATGAGAAACAATGACCGTTGTAACTTGTCATGCCTGTAATACAATGGCCTTGTAAGATACGGTAAGAGAGGCCATTGACAATACAGCCCCCCTGACCCGGCTCCATTATCAAATCCATACCATTAGAAGCATGCTAATATCCCATTGGCTAGTGTGTACATGGCAGCATCGTTGAGATAGTGTTTACCATCACAATTGATTTGAACCTTGGCGCAAGATCTCTTCCAGTCTGGCTCTCCTCTTCCCGGCTTGGTTCCATGAGATGAAGCCATTTCGACTTGCAGCCTACTAAGACATTTGGCCGTTGTTTGATCCAGCAACGTCTCGACATATCGTGATGAAAACCGGAGCTGACGACGTCCAGGGTCCTGGTACGGGTATGTTAGTGTGGTGGGTGTTGGGCATGGAATCACCAAAAGTGAAATTTCTCACTTGTCAATATATGCGTATTGATTTAACTTGGCACCCGCTGTCAGTCATGCCATGTCTTGAGTTGCCGTTCTGATAAAAAGCAAAACCAAGAAGAGGGCTGTGAACTAGTCACAGAGCAATAGCCCAGCCCAATGTCTCTAGTGTAAGTGACCTGATGACGCCCAGGATGACAGCGGCAGGGCACCGACAAGAAATGATCTGCACTGGTCTCCCACCTTACGCGAAGAAGAAGGGGAAAAAGCAAGTGACAAGCAGACAGATGTCTTTGTGGTGACCAACTCACTGAAAAAAAGCCCATGCCTATCAGTGAAAATGGAATTTGTCGTCGTCCGAACCGCTTGTCACGGTAGAGTTCATCCACTTCATTTCTTCCAAAGATTGTCGTAGCGTTCCACTAAAACGAACCGAACCAGGTCTATGCTTTCCCACCACTATACTTTGCAAACACGGTATCAGTCCCCACATTAGAATCTAACCGCTATATACACACACATCGTAAATCCATCAATACATAACAACAGTAAAATCTTCAAACGCCCATATCATTACCAATCTTAAAAGTATTTACAATCCGATTACTACTCTATATTCGTATAAATTCCCCTAATCGATTGAAGTTAATACTAAAAGGTCCCGATCAATAAGCCAATTTATACCGTATACAATTCGCACTAAGCACCGCCGCGCCTACTTTAATTATACTTTCTAAACGCTCCCTTCCTAACGACAGTAATAAACCTTAATAATCGAAACGGCTTTCGAAGCCCAATACCTATATAGCTCGTATAAACGCCGGTTTAAAAAACGGAAATAGAAATAACGAAAGGATTCCTATTCTAATAGCGCGTACTATAAGCGGTACAACTACTATAAAATCCCAACTAGAGCTAACCCAATTAACCCAATTAATTAAATCCAATTTATATATTATTATTCGAAATTCTATATTAAATAGTAATAATATTTCGAAATCGAAGAAAGCTAATACTATTAGTAAATAACTTACAATCTCTTCTATACCTATTGCCTCTTCGAATAATTTATAAATTATACTCAAAATTCTAACCGCTTCCTCCCTAATTTATTCGATTACCCTAACTACTTTGATTATTTTAATTCCCTCGTTTATTCTTCTAACTACCTCGTTTCGTATTCCTCCTCTTCCTTAAATCCGTAATTAAACCCCTACTCCAACTACCGCTGTATCGTTTCGAATTCCCAAACTCCCGCGTCGAACTAATACTACTATAATAATAAGACTACCTCTTTATTAGAAAATTTTAACTACGGATAAAGAAGAAATATCGACCAAAGAGACTGTGAATACTAATTGTAAATTGTACGAAAAATATATATATTCGCCGTCGCAAAAACTAGAAAATAAAGTCGAAATTAACGAATAGGCTAATACTATTACCCCTTAGACTAAAAAATCCTATAAACTTAAAATAACCCTAAGACCGCTACTAATCCCCGATTTTCTAAATATTTTACTTATATATAATGGAATATAACTATTAGATTTCAATTACAAAAAATTCGTTAAGAAGCCCAGAAAATGTTTTAATTCTATTTTAACCGAACGGATTATAATCGAGAAGGAAATCGATAAAATTATTGACGAAAGTAATTATAATATACTTAACGATAAATTTATATATTGAATATAAAATATATAAAATATTTTCTTAAATACTACCTATAACGAATATAAAATTATTAATTTAAATTCTAAAATTATTATATAATATTCAAACTAAACTACTAGTATTTACGAAACTAAAAAAAGCGTTACGCTCTTTCAAATTCGTATTATACTAATATAAAACGAATAAAAAGGCTAAATAACGCCCTTTAAATACTATAATGTTTCGAAAATAATACGCAATCTAATTAAGCGGCTATCTAAGAGATATTTCATTATAATTACCTCCTATCTTTGAATTCTTAATAATTACTTACTACTCCCATAATAATTTTATACCCCTTCTATAACTAATACGCCTATACCATCATTACACATTACTTCCTTTAATAAACGGCTAATATATAATAATTATTTTCAATCCTAATCTAATTCCTTTTAATAAACCTTTCAAACTCCCTTCTACTAACTATTTATACTTACTACGATGTTCGCTAATACTTCTACATAATTTAAATCGGTTAATAAATCGGCTAATAACTCTAATAATAAATCGAAATCGATTACGAACTTTATATTATAAAAATTCTATACTAATTACAAAATTAAACGCAAAATACAAAAAGCGGGCAAAGAATCGACTACCCTATTCTATAACGAATTAATTAAATTATAAAGATATAAAACCGGTCACTAATATAAAAATTATTACAATAAGTATTAATACTATTAATATTTTATTTATCCTAATTAATACTACTATTATATATTTATAATAAAGGATCTAAAGGATTAAGCAA